GAGGGAAGATGCAGATAGACGGGTACTTTGCCCAGCATTAATAGACAGCATTTATTTGAGTATATGCCTAACTTGACCAGTACATAATACGAAGTCACATTACCAGAACGCACACCTGCGTCGAAAATATTTCGACCCCCGAATCGGCCCCTCAACGACTGAAGCGGGACGGGAGCTCACCCAATCCAGGTGGGGTCCGGAAGCTATCTGCTCATGCCGTTAACGGTTCCATCTGGCTAGTCTTCAGACGGCGTTCTTGATGTCTTCCCATTGCAATTGAAGACGCAATGGAAGGCCCTTGTTCAATCTACTTGTCTGACCTATCTGGGCTTCCTTTTGATAACACCTCGACACCCATTTAAACCCGAGCCGACGCAGCATCGCCATGTTCTAGCGAGATCTGAAGATACCGACGTCAAGCCTCCGTTCGACGTTGTCTCCATTTTCTGTCAACATCTTTCACTCCGCTGAGCAGGAGCAAGGTACGTCTCATAGCTCTTTACCTCTCAGTCTCAGTCAAATTGCTTACCTCATTCTCTCGTGATGCTTTATTCCAGTTTGTTGCAGTACTTAGTTCGAGTGATCTTTCGATTTGAAACAGACATCAACATCAACACGATCATCAGCATCGCATTAGCATCAATACTACTGTGTCTGTCAAGCCCCATTGCTGATGCTTCTCAGGAAGGGAGATAGGAAACATCGTTGACTGCCGTGCAACATTCCGCTGGCTTGTTAATTGTTGCGTCCTTTAACCCACTGATGGCTTCTACTGCTCCAGATTTCTAGCTAGGTTGTTTTCCCTTTCCTCCTTCTTCTTGTTCATATTTGTCGGCTCCTGGCGAACAGTTCCTAAATTTCTCTCGTATTTTCCTCAATCTCTTACCAGTACAGGCCGGAACGCGGTTCAGATCTTGATATATCTAGGGTTCTTCTAGTCAACCCTGTCTAAGCTTGACTATCTTTGCAAACCCTCATTTTCTGGACGGTCTCTTAGTTGCTTTGGTTTCTTCAGCGTGCCCCAAAATCCTCACCTCCATCCATTAACACGACCCTGGACAGTAAACGTACCCCTTTTGCTACCCCAACCCGCTTCTGTACCTTATCGAGACTGGCCTTATCCCTTTACAGTCAACGCGGCCAACGTAACGTTCGTCTCTCGCCTTTTGTCAACAAGAGCTCCGTCGTAGCGTTACCGGCCCTTCGGCTATACGGTCCTGCTGGCCTGCTACCTACCTTGGCTCAACCGCTGTCCTCTAGTGGGTATCGAAAACTTACAACCTCGCTCGTACATTGGCCATACTTTTCTTCCAAATATCTCACCTTCTTCTCTCACCGGGGCCTTCGCCTTTCAAGCTGAGTGTCGCCGAAGGCTAAGTGCCCAGGAGATCCAGATCAGCAGATCGATACTTTGCCTCATAGACTCAGCACATTGACTTCCTGCAAAGTGCCATAGTCTCTGTGATTGGAATAACCGCTCATCATAAACATCGCGCATTCACAGCCGATTAGTCACAATTTCCTTGACCAGGACGCACCTTAGACTCGATCCCGGCTTTGGTAAGAGATTGGCAAACCCTTCTCTACGAGCGATCATCCTTTGTGTTGAGGTTCAGGGGCAAAATCATCGGCCAGACTGGTGGCTGTATCATCATTTCACCAAAGTTCAAAAGAAAAGAAAAGAATCTGAGCAAGAACGGCAAAATGACTACACCAACGGCTTCTGGCAATCCAACGACGGAAACGGTGCATACGATATCCTCTCCGCTTGATGCGCCTCTTGAGGGTGACGTGCATCACCCAGGTCTGGGAGAGCAAGAATCGCAAGCGGAGCAGTCGCAACAGCCGAATGGAGGGCAACGACAGAAACAAATGCACCGGGAGCAGCATGAGGAAAATACCGAGGAACAGCAGCAAGGTCAGGAACGACACGAGGAACAGCACGAGGAGCATCACCAGGAACAACGCCCGGATCAAGTTCATGAACAACATCAGGAACGGCAGCCCGAGTATACCAGTCCAGCGGTCTTGCATGTTCCTACTGCTACCAACGGAATTGTCGAGAGCCATGGTCACTCGCCGCGGGCGAGAAAGGACACCAACTCCTCCATATCGACCATTACATCTGCCGCCACAGCTGCTACATCCTGTAGCATCGGGTCCTCCCCCTCCCTCACTCCGACAACCGCTCTGCCAACGCAAAACATTTTTTCTCTCAAGGACGGGAACGCTCCTTTGTCTTCGAGTCGAAACAGACGGCGGACTGGCCCCTTGGCGCCCGAGGCAAGGGGAAAGGCCGCTCTGATCCGAAAACAAGGTTCATGTGCGAACTGCAAAAGGAAGAAAATCGGAGTGAGTGCAAAACTTGGAAGCCGTCCAGGCCAGTTCACTTACTGGGCTTGTCCTTATAGTGCGATGCCCGACATCACGGCATGACTTGGGAAGAACTCGCGCAAAAGTTTCCCACCTCTGCAGAGATGCAGCAGCTTGAAGCCATTGTGCCGCCGACCCCTAATCTTCATGCACAAGAATCAAGAAAGCTCAATCTGAGCACCCCTTCGCCAGAATTCATGGACATTGATTCCTCTCCAACACAACAACAGATCCGTTCATCGTTTAGCGAGTCGCGTGTGAGAACACCTCTGCCTTCCAAGCCTCGTCAGGATCGGGCATCAACTGTGTTGTTCCCCCAGTCCCAGCCCAACGGTGGTCTTTCCAACGGCCACATTCTGACGTCGAATTCGCACGGGGCTACAGTCCGAGCTTCCGAAGGCTCTGCTGGGGATCGCTACAGAAGAATTTCAGTCTTGTTTCTTCGCTGGCAGAATGACGAAGACCCTGCGTTGAAAAACTCGATGGATGAGTTCAGAGAGGTGCTTGAAGAGTACTACGACTGCTCATGCCAAACCAAGATTATTCCATCCGCGAATCAAAACCACAACGTTTCCATGTGGGTTTTGGATGAAATTATTCAGTTTCTAAAGACTGATACAGAGGACGAGTTGAAAGTACTGTATTGGTCAAGTCACAGCTACTTGGACGCCGATCGACAAATGATTCTGGCAAGGTATGACTTAGCCGCCTCCCACGGAATTACACCACATCACCGAAATGCGGATTTTTGTTTCTCCAGGCTGACCGTATCGTCACGTTGATAGCTCGAGAAGCAGCGAGGCGCAACCAGCGTCGTGCGTACGATGGTCTGCCATCCAGGCTCTGCTCGATCATGCTTCACCAGATGTAGTAGTCATCATGGACGCAGCCTACTACCCGAACCAATACAGATTCATGAGGAGGACCAACCGTTCATTGGAGCTTCTCGCCGCATCTACTCAGGCAAACCCGGAGAGAGGTGTTTTCACTCGTGCTTTGAGCGACCAGCTGAGGATCCGAGCTCACCTGAAGCTTTTGGGGGGCATCTCGATCGCTGATCTTCATGCTAGAGTGACAACATCCCCTCTCCTGACCATGGGGGCTAGAGTCCAGGAACTGCTCGGCTCGGGCATGGGAGGAATGTCATTGTCGCCGCTTAGTAGCTGTCCTCCTGTTCCCTTGTATCTGCAATTTGCGGGCAGTCCTAGGACATCAAGCATCATCCTGACACCGAAGATAAACCGAGAGTTGGCGGTGATGGCTGGAGATGACGAAGCTAGTGGAAGAAAAGAAGGAACAGCAGGACTTGTTTACACGTTCCGCGTGCCCGCGGGTGCAAATCAGGACATTTGGGAGGAGTATCTCTCGACGTTGCCTGACGACATCAAGGGGAGACTGGAGTTCGTGGGGGCAGGCTAGGTGAAAGTCAGACGATTTTGGACCAGAAACGGGGGCTCTCAAGAAAAAAAGGGGAAGGAGATGACACTGTGGTCGGATGTATAAGAACCGCAAGACTACAATCAGGCAATTATCCCGAGACATTTCCTGTTTCCTTCCAGTGCGCTTTTGTTGTAACGTCCCAGAGATGTTGCCTGGACGTGGATGTAGGTGGTCTGACTGACGGCCGTGACCACCGAAGAAGGTTACTCCCACCTACTCTCGGTGGAAGAATTACAAGCACCCTATTGTGGGCTGAGCGAAAATCAATGAGTCGTTGCGAAGATATACCGCCCTCTATCGCATACCCCAGATACCGTGATTACTTGGGTAAGACCAGGCTGAGAAAAACAAAAGAGTCAAGGACTCGTGAAGTTGATGACGAGGAAGTTAGTATCCAAAGCGCACTCGCCCAAAATCATCAGTGCAAAAAACAACAACAGAACACAACTCCCATCGGAGTTCGAATGCACCAGCTCGCTCCAGTTCCTCACTTAACGCGGCCTCTAACCCTCCCACCTCCAAAGTTTGGAAGTACCAAAAGACACAAAAGAAAAGGCTACTAACAACCGCTCGATCGAGTTTAACCATCGAAACGCCTCCAACCTTTTGCATTTTTTTTTTCAACCAAAAAAAAAATACGCGATTACCTTCTTCTGTCGCTGCAGAAGTTACACAGATCCCAGAACTGGAGGAGACGGTCTAAGATGTAAAACGCTCTTTGGGTTACTTGAACGTCTACACCCCCGTTCCCAAACCGACAGGTAACTTCGATGGTTTGGTTAACCTGGGTGATTAGTGTAGACGGTAAACCGTTATGCCACTCGACCAAGCGATTTATTGGTCAAAGGAGCGGCCACCTCAAGGAGGTAATCTATATACCCGGTAGGCACTCTGGTCTGGGATGAGATGGATGGAAAGGAAGAAAGGAAAAGAAGGAAAAAAGGAAGGAGCGGCGAGCCAAGACAGGTGTGGGCAGCTGTGCTGAAGTCTTTTTTGTGGCACTGAGCATCATAACTGAAGAGGCTCATCCGACCACCGTTCGTTGCCTCGAAGAAGTGGGCAGTCTATCGGCATCAACACAGATGGATGATACCTCGATAACCTCCCTCAGAACAAACAACCTCAAGGTCCTTCCAACCCTAACAGCGAAGCAACAGGAGTATCGATCCATTTTCGAAAAAAGATAGAACACCAGGATGGAGTAAATTGATTGTTGAACGTAAATGCCAAAGTATACTATCAATAGAGCATGCATGCAGTGTGGTATATCCATCATCCAATATTCCCGTCGTTCCATGATCCATGATCCTTCATCCATCATGACATTAACACCACGCATCCCTTTCCCTCCTCATTCTTGGCGATGTCCAGTCCAGTCTCAACTTGATCAGACTGAAATATCATCATGTCTCCCCTTCCCCTACAACAACAAAGTAGCCGCCACAACTCCCACCACAACCGACGACCAGACATTCACCATCTTTCCGATAGCAACAGCACCCGAGTCCTGGGCATGCGCATCCGCAATCTTGAACTCAGGCATGTAAACCCCCGTATCTTTTGAGTTCACTGTGCCATTCCAGCAATACCTCTCAAAGCAAGTCTTGCACGCGGCTGGCGTCTGCCTGCCCAACCGATCTAAGCTCCTGCTGATAACCGCGCAGGCGACGCAAGTAGGCCACTCCGAATCCAGCGTGCCGTTCCCCTGTGTGGCTGAGTTCCATCCGTTGCCGATGATGTCGTTGCGCTGAGACATGGTGTATGACGGATCGAAGGTGGACACGTTGCTCAGCGCGGTATAGGGCGCGTTGGGGACATAGACGATTAAGGGGGGAACCTTTTGGTTGGCATTCAAGGTAAAGTTCTTAACATCGCAGCCGAAGAAAGAGGGGCGGTTATTGAGGCCTAGGTTTACAAAAGTCCAGTCGTCGGGGATCGAGGGGAAAAGTGTCCCGTTGGAAATAGAGCCGAAAGTGCGCTCGTAGGTGGCGCGCAGGGCGGTGCCATTGGGCCAGTTTGTCACGTCGGCGGACGAGTCGACAGCGAAGATGACGTCCACGGCGCGTACGGGTTGGGTGAGCGGGTTGAGCGGAATATTCTGCAGATCTTCGCCGCCGTCGACCAGGTCGAGCTCGAGCGTGTCGGCGTTGGGGTTGGTCCGGTTATTCCAGTCCAGGAACGGATTAGGGATGATTTGGGAGACGTCGTCCCTCTTCGCGCCGATTTCCTTGAGGACAGAAGTCACGGCCTCGATGAGCACGTCTGGCACACCGTCGTAGCTGGAGATGTTGGCCAAAAGGAACTGGTTGAAGAGCGTGCTGCTGGTGCCCATGACGAAGCCGGCTTGGTCGAGACCCTGAACGCACTTGCCTCCCGATGGGATCACGCCGTTGCTGAAGTTGGCGCCGAGGTACTTGGTCGGCGCAAAGCCAAAGACGGTCGGGTCCCAGCTACCCGTCTCGAACGGGTTGAACTCGTAGTTGGTAGCATTGAGGGAGATGATGGTGTCTCCAGGCGCGCGGCCGTCAGCTACCAGAATAGGGAACGGCGTTTCGGCCTTCTGGAAGTTGTCGGTCTGGGCAATGCTGGAGAAGGTGTAAGCCGGGCCGCCCATATCGGCTCCGATCAGTTGGTAACTCAATGCTCGGCCCCAGTAGTCTGTTATACTTGTCTCGAAGCCAGCATCCTTCTTCTTCGCAACTTCCTTTGCCACTTCGGACCAATACTGGATGCGGTTGACAGTACTAATGCCAGCCTCCTTGGGTCCTTTAAAGATGGAGTTCTCAAAGTCCCAGACTTTATTCTCGCTCAGCAGGGTCTCAATGCTGCTGAAGTTGTTGGAGAACAAACTGCCGACAAGCCAGCCACCACCAGAAAGTCCGGCCCTAGAGTTGCGTTAGCAATTTACGGTCACGGTCCTCGATTTTTTTTTGATTTGAGGAAACGAAAAAGGGGCATGGAGTCCAAGACATGTTCACCAGCAAGGTCGTCCACAGCCGCCCAACTTCGAACTGGCGCAGTTGACATTCGAAAACGAGATAAGAAGAACCAAAAGAGGCATGATTTTACATACAAATATGTGCTGGACTGCAACAAGCCTCCAATACCACCTGCGCCTGTGGTATTTTGAATCCGGTTATCCGCAGCAGCAACGAAGCCGGCGCCGTTCATGAGGGCACGATAGCCGCCTCCTGAAATGGCAATGGCGACATTGGGCAGTTGCGAGATGTTCTTGGCGGCCTCATTCATAAAAGTCTCGGAATCAAACCCAGTGATGTTGGCCCTCTTCAGTAGGTCCCTCATGGGCTCGATGGTGTTCTTCCTTCGGATCGACAACCAGTCCTTCTCCTCGTTCGACAAATCCAGGGCCTTCCGGAGCGTCGGCTTGGTCTTGGGACAGTCTACAACGGCGGGGGCATACCCACCGCTGGGCGAATCCGGTAGTGCTCGAACGGCAAGTTGCTGTGATGTTGATACCACGGAGACATCGCGTTGGGGTATCCTAATGGGTTCGGCCGACACATTGGCGAGCAAGGGAGCTGCGATGAGCAGCGACGATGGGAGATGCATAATTGATGATTTGCCTCTTCTTTCTCAGGATATCAACACAACGTATATCGTTAGTAAACCGTAAAAACTGTTCCGTTCGTCTGCCGTGTCAAGAAAGAGTAGTTTAATGATATCCAAATAAAAACATCAAGAGAAGGTAAGTGGCTTGTAGTGGTCAAGAGCTAAAAAGTCGCACCCAAGCCGCCTGGAAGAGCCGGAATTGTTCTGTTTTTGGTCCTCGACCGAACCAAGAAAGGGGATAATGAACGGAAGGTAGTCGTAGAAAGAACGACAGCGACCAGGGGGAAGCAAGAACAGATATAAAAAGTCGGTCGCCCAAGAAAAAGAGAGTGAAGATCAACACAAGTACCCAGATCAAGTGTTGGTTGCGCCAAGTGGGAAGAAAGAAGGATGGCAAGGGCAAGAATTGGGATCCAATGCGGATTCGCTCACTCGGTACCGCGGCGGTGCTAAGTTCCTGCCGTGGATTGGGGAATTGCGCGGACGGTGGAGTGCTTACTAGAGCTAGGTACCCAGTTGCACACCAAACGGTGCCCCTGTGCCCCTGCGTTTAGGTGTGTCCTGTGAGCAACTGCGCGGCACCGGGAAGCTGCGGGATGGATGATTGGCGCCAGCCAGATCCCCGGCATCACCTCAGCACATGGGCAGAGAACTAAGGAATCGAAGGGTAGAAGATATTCCAGGGTTTTCGCTAACACAACTTCCAAGCGCCTCTACCGCTACTCCACACACCCACGCTGGCAGAGCCACTGAGGCCTAGCGGTCACAGCTCCCCGTAACCACGCAGTCCAGCGACCGAGGTCATTATGACACTATGACGACAATCTGGAGATGGGACTTGGGAAAATCGATGACGGGCACCTACCTTGGGAACGATAGAGCAAGTCCAGTCAACGCCCTAGGGAAGGGGAAAAAAAGAGAAAGGGAAAAAGAAAGAGAGAAAAAAAAAAAAAAAAAAAACAAGAGCCCGCCGCATGTTTGCTGAATGGTGGTGTACAAACTAGATCGAACAATATCGACGCCAGGAAGCTTGGGAAATTTGGATATCCACAGCTCCCGTCCCACTGCAGCCGCTGGGCATTCCCACAAGGAGCAACACTGTGGTGCTATCATAGTACAAGCAAAGTCGGGATGTTGCTAGAATCCGTCGGCTACGTCGGTAGATACCTCCCATAGGTAAGTATCCATTTTATCGTTCCGCGTATTACTTCGTCAACAGGGCACAGCAAAGCCAAACAGCTGCAGTGTCTCGCAACCAACACCAAGCAATAATCTCATCCATCCATACAGGCCCTCCCATAATATCTTTACATGCGCACTTGCGCTGTGTTAGCAGTTTAGGTTCCACTACCAAGGCTGACACGAGCAGCACTGACAGCAAACTGCTGCTTGGGGCCAAGAGAGTGGCAGTTTGCTGAGCACCTAGCAGTACCTACCTTACCATGTTTGCTTGCTTCCACGTCCCTGGCCTCGAACTATCCTAGTCTTGATTTTTTGGTTTCTCAACGCAAAGGCCATTAAGGTTTCTCATGTTCAACCCTTTGGATGGCGATGCCGTCCGTCCCAGGACCTCATGACCTTTAAGAGATGAGAAATATATCCCAAAGCAACTTCTACTTATGGACAAGCCATGACGGCCTACAACTCATATCTCGCGTAATCATCCAAACGCTAGACCCGAGTACTCTACTGTTCTCGAGACACCTACCATAATATGTACCCAATCGGACATGACAACAGTAACCATACCCTGATCCGGCCGAACCCTGACATCCCTAGATGATGGTTAAGGCACACAAATGGAAAACGGGACTCGTCGGTTAGGTGGGAACGCTTGTAGTGTAGCCAGCCAACCGACTCTCCTCGTCCCTCTCAAGTCCCATTATTGCCGACCCAGCCGCCCAGCCGCCAGCTGAGGGAGCCAAGGGTCTAATACCGTCCAACGGCCCCAGTGATGTTTCAAACTTGATTGACAGCGAACAAAACACCTGAAACCCGTTATAGATATGTATAGATTTAATGGGGTAGCTTGGCCCGGGGCTACACTAGTAACTCCATGCCAAGCAGTCGGACGGGGGTGCCTGAGACCCGCGCATTCTGACAGCAGCGTGTGGTCACATACATAGTGGGGGAGGAAGCATGGGAATGGATTCTTCCATATGTATGGATGGATGGCTGTGAATCTTAGTTGCTTTCTTTCTTCTCGAAATGTAACCACTGAAATAGCTCGGAAGGAATAGCAGCAGATCATGAAATGCAAGGGTGTTTTACTATGCTCACAGAGCTTACACTACACGACCGGAGAAAGCGGCCGTATATTGCACCTATCAGCGCATCCGACCGCTCGCTCGCTCGCTCGCTGTAGGCTTATTGTCCGCGGAAGACAAGGATATAAAACGATCCTCAGACTTGTATGAATGCGAATCCCTAACCTCCGAATCTGGGTGTTGGCACATCAAATAGGATAAAATAAAATAAAATAAAACAGATCTTTAGTCGGACTTCGGCAAGACATGCAAAAACTCCCTCTCCATCATATCGAGGTATCAACAATGTCCCCGGCCAAGATGATGCCCCGAACTATCATGATACAGTACCTAGTTTCTCCTCTCGAATCACCCAAAATGTTCCCATCTTCAAATCCCTCCTCGCCTATGAGCTGTCCCTTTCCCGCTCGGGTAGGCCGGATGTCAGGAAACAAAATTCTCCAGCTTTCAGTCCCTGTAAACAGGGAGGCACAGAGTTCGTGGGACCGACCGAACCTCGGGTGTGGCGCTTGTTATAAGGCTTTGTGGGTGTGGGGGAGATAGATAGACCTGGTGTCCCAGTCAATGTCAACATCGATGAACCTACTATACCCGGGCGAGCACGGCTATGGGGTCTAGATGCCAAAAGAAATCATTTCCCACCCTCTCTCCGATTTTTGTCTTGTTTTATTCCAATTTTCGCCCTCTTTTATTCGGTTGTTTGGGAGGTTCACATGCAAAGTGCAAGACTGCAAGTACGTTGAGATGGGCGCTTCATGCAATGCAGCATCACTGCAGTGACATTGTGACATGCACGTTTCGATCGTCTGTGCTTCCCCATTCATGTACGCATTATCTGGAAAAATAAAAAAATAAACAGTTGATGTAATAATGAAAATAAAAACCAAGGGACGAACACCTCTTCTGGAATAGGGAGAAAAACTAAAGGGACGTTTGGGTCTCTACATTTACCAACAGATTCATGTACTGACCTTCAGCCTGTACAGAACAGTACAATGACCAAAACTCGTTATCATTACTCTATGTGCCCAAAATGACCCAGATATACATCAACCCACTACATCTTTTTGTTCTTGTTTTTTGCTACTTCGAAAAGAACTTCCGTCTAGTTGCTCTTGCTCATGTGCTCAAGACGGATGCTGACCGCCCTCCTGTGAGCCTCGAGCTCCTCAACCTTAGCCAACTGCATAACAGCCTGGCCGACGTTTTTGAGACCATCGGCAGTCAAGTTGGAGCTGGTAATGTGCTTGACGAACGAAGCGAGGTTGACGCCAGAGTACTGCTTGGCAAAGCCATAGGTAGCTATGTGTCTTGACGTTAGCAGAAGAATTTGTGAAGCGGGGCATGTTATGATATAAAACTTACGCAGCGAGTGGTTAACACCAGCAGAGTAATCGCCAACGGATTCAGGAGTCCAGGCGCCAATGAAAACACTACCGGCGTTCATGACAAGATCGACAGCCTTCTCGGCCTCCTTGATCTGGAGGATCAAGTGCTCAGGAGCGTACTTGTTGCTGAGCTCCATGGCCTCCTCGACGGTCTTGACCTGCACGGTGATCGAGTGAGCGATGGAGCCACGGACAATCTGGACGCGAGGAAGCTCCATAGCCTGACGGTGAACCTCGTCCTCAATAGCCTGAAGATGCTCCTCGTCGAGGTCAATAGCGATCAGGATGACCTGGCTGTCAACGCCGTGCTCAGCCTGGGACAGGAGATCCGAGGCAACGAACGCGGGGTTGGCGTCCTTGTCAGCAATGACCAGCACCTCGGAGGGGCCAGCGGGCATGTCAATACCAACGGCGGCGTTGGTGTCGTTGCTGACGAACATCTTGGCAGCAGTGACGAACTGGTTACCGGGGCCGAGAATCTTGTCGACCTTGGTGATGCTCTCGGTGCCGTAGGCCATGGCAGCTACGGCCTGGGCACCGCCGGCAAGCACGATGGACTCGGCGCCAACCTTGTGAGCGACGTAGACAATCTCGGGAGTGATGGTTCCGTCGGCGCGGGGAGGAGAGGCGAACACAATCTTGTTGCAGCCGGCGACCATGGCGGGAACACCCAGCATAAGGGCAGTGCTGGGGAGAACGGCGGTACCGCCGGGGATGTAGCAGCCGACGGCCTCGATGGGACGAGAGAAACGGCTGCAGACAACACCGGGCATGGTCTCGACCTGGAGGGGCTTCTCCTCCTTCTGGGCGGCGTGGAACTTGCGGATGTTCTCGAAGGACACGTCGATGGCAGCAATGGTCTCCTCAGGGAGCTGCATAAGCTCCTTGGGGAAGGGCGCCTTCAGGACGGGGCTAGTAAGAGAGGTAGCCTTCTCGAACTTGTGAGTGTACGACAGAACAGCCTTGTCGCCGTTCTTGCGGACGTCCTCGATGATGGGGACAATGATCTTGTAGATGGCATCGGACGACTTTTGCGCAGGACGCTTAAGAGCAGCATCGAGCTCCTCGGTAGAGACCTTGGAGGCGTCGAAACGTCTCATGGTGATCTTCTCAGGGGTGGTCTCCTGGGCGGCCTCCTTGGTGACAGGGGCCGAAGTGGCAGCGGGAGCGGACGCCGCAGGCTTGATGCCCTCCTTCTCAGCCCACTTACCCTTAGCATCTCCAGTCCTGCGCTTGACCTTCCAGCTCTTGGCGTCAAGGCTCCTTTCGATATCGGCAAGAGTAACGCCGGCGGCAACGGCCCTGGTAAGAGCAAAGTAGAAGAGATCGGCAGCCTCAAAGGCGATTTCCTGGGGGGTCTGAGCGGTGCAGAGCTCCTCAGCCTCCTCCATGATCTTGGCCCGGACTAGCTTCTCATCGGAGAAGAGACGGGCAGTGTAGGAGCCCTCGGGGGCAGACTGTTTCCTCGAAATCAAAGTCTGCTCGAGCTTGGGAAGGCCTTTGAGCTGACCAAAGCAGCCGGACTGATCGAGGTGGCAGAAACGGCCCTTCTGCTTCACGACAAACTTGAGAGCATCGTTATCGCAGTCAAGCGAGATGCGGACGAGCTCCTGAGTGTCTCCGGAAGTAGCACCCTTGTACCAGAGACCGCGCTTCCGGCTCTGATAGACACCAGTCTGTGTCCTGAGGGCCTCGTTCACACTCTCGGCACTGCTGTAGACCAGACCCAGAGCAGTGTCGTGCTCATCAACGACAACGGTGGGGAGCAGACCATCGGGACGGTCAGACTTCCAGACGCTCGAGAGGATGGTGGAGATGGCAAGCTTTCCGGTCTCGTCCTTCTTTGTTGTCAAGCCAGTGGATGGCAGGATGGGGATGGCGTTAGCCTTGGCGGCGACCTGGATGAACTGTTCGAGATCGGCCCCAGGAACGGGCTTGATGAAGAAGGGGGTAATTTTCTTGTCTCTGGCCTCCTCCAGAAACTGTGCAGCCTCGGAGGCAGTCTGATCGAAGCCGGAGAGCAAAAGGCCGCTCTCGGTGGCGGAGGAAAGCAGAGCAGCGCTGCTTCCAGTGACAATGGGGGCAACGCGGGAGCCATATGCGGAGAGGTCGGCCAACTGCTCGGTCTTGACAAACACCTTGCGGGCGCCGGCGTCCAGAAGAGTGATAATATCATCGATCGACTCGAGGGCTGTTACATCGAAGTAGGGCTCAAATTCGACATTGTGACGCTTGAGGAATCGCAGGATTTTCTCAAGGGTCTGGGGCTTGACCTCGAAGAAGACGCAGCCAAGACACGAGACTTCCTCCCGGCTGAGGCCCTCCTTGATGTCATTCAGTCCGGGAGGAACACTGACACCGACGAGGAAGGGGAGGGGAAGTGTTGTCTCCATGGTGTTTTCCTCTGTTTGATTTTCTCGTTTCTGGTATCGTGCTGCTCCCCAATTCGTCGATATGTCGGGTGAAGTCTGACGTGGGGTTGAACTCAAGGTCAAGTGGGATATGGAGATGGAGTATTACAAGCTATCAGGCTATGAAGATGAGGCCCGCTTCGAGTGTCGCTTATGTACAGAAAAGACTCGGGCTTTATGAAAATCGGGTGATTTGGTATGACTCTTTCACAATTCACACCTCTTTCCGTCGAAAACTCGGCAGGCAAGGTTTGATACCAGGATCAGTACGTACTGTGTACCTGAAAGTTACCAGGAATTACAGGTTTCTCGACTTCGCGCTCCATGTATCGACAGACGCTATGGTGGGGTTGGGGTTCGCAGTGTGACGGGAGGCAATGCAAATGCCCCTCATCTCATGCATTGGGAACTTTTCCGGGGTCCCATCCTGTCGGTGCCAGAAGTCTTTCCTTCCAGATTTCTCCTTGTACCGCTGACGTTGGCCGGCAGCTGGCAAGCAACAGACGGGTTGCTTGATGCCGTCTTGCCGATGTCAGTGCCGCCGTCGCCCGTCCAGGTGAAAATAAGCTATGGTCTGTGCTGTTACGGCAGGCTGAACTGCCCTGGGGCTTCGTCGCCCTTGTTTTGCGGCACGGTGCGAGTGATCTCCAGTTGCGATCTACCTGTACATCTACTAAGTAACTGCAGTGCTGACGGAGTGCGCTGCACTGGGTCAGTGACCGTGCCGCGGCTTGGCCTTAGCGCCCGCTACGATTCCCGGTCGGCGGGCGTGAGAATGAACGAACCGGAACTTCGAACTTCCATCACACGTCGTCTAAAGGTACCAACTTTCCACTTGCATCCGAACTCAAGCCTTCTCCTTTCGCCGAAGCTCCCTTCCGGAACACACCCGATTCTTTCAACGCGCCATCCCAAGATACTCCGCGATTATCGGAAGTCACATAAACCTCACAACCAATCGCGCCTTACACACGACGCCAGCTATTAGATCTATCTCGAACTGTGAACAGAGCTACCTAGCTCCCCGCGCCGAACATCAAACCGACCTCGATATTAGCCAATCCATCTGCTTGCTACAAAACCACCAGGAAACATCACACAAGTACCAGTCACCGCGCGAGCTGTACACTACTCAGCTTCGCCCCAAATAGCATCTCTCAGCACCAATTGACCAAACCTGCCCCCTCCATCGGCGGCAGTCACCAACCATGTCCGCCGCCGCCACAACCACGGCTCCCCTCCCAAACGGCAACCCCGCGCCCGGCAGCCAGAATAACGCGTCGGCAGCGTCATCATCCACGGCCGCAACCTCTCAATCCCAACCCCAGTCTCAACTAGCCACCCAGCCCCCCTCCGCCTCCCAAGCACCACCACCAACGACCACAACAGGGCCCGCAACAACATCAACAGCAGTAACAACATCAAACCCCAACACCCTCTCCACCGCTGCTGCTGCTGCTGCCGCCTCCTCAGCAGCTTCCAACCCCCGCCCCCGCGACGCCCGCACAATCGAGCTCCTCCTAACCGCACAAGGCGTAACAGCCTTCGAACAGCGCGTCCCGCTTTTGTTGCTTGACTTCGCCTACCGCCACACCTCGGCCGTGCTCTCAGACGCTTTACACCTCTCTGCGGACCCGTACACATCGCACGCGGGCGCCCGGCCCTCGGCCTCTTCTGGCGCGGCTCCCGTCAATGTGGGCGACGCGACTATTACAAGTAACGCAGTGCAGCTGGCTATTGCCAGCCGGCTGAACTTCCAATTCCGTGGCGGAAGCGGGGGCGGGAGCGGTGGTGGTGTCAGCAAGGAGTGGATGATGGAGATGGCGAGGGAGAAGAATAAGGTGGCGTTGCCCAAGGTCAGTGCGAATGAGTGGGGGGTAAGGTTGCCGAGCGAGAGGTTTGTGTTGAATGGGGTTAGCTGGGGTTTGAAGGGGGACGGGTGGATTGCCGGCGGGGATGAGACAAGTGGCGATGAGGAGGAAGGTAGCGATGAGGACATGGAGGATGCGATGGGCATTAACAAGAAGGGTGAGAATGGTGATGCTATGGAGGGGATAGAGAGGGAGGATATTGGTGGGGATGGGGTAGAGGGTGGCACGGTGGATGACTTGTTTGGGGATGATGATGGTGATAATGATGAGATGGAAGATGTGGATATGTTTGCTTGAAAGGGGCTGTATTATCTTTACAGTTGGCTTCGCGGACACCGGTTCCTGTTTCGGGGCCATTGATGATTCATTGTCAGGGGAACAATTTTCCTTCTTTCTCACGGTTTACTGTTGTTTCACCGGGTTTCTCTTCACGGTGTCATGGCGTTTAGGAGTAGGGAACCGAAAAGGTGACAGCATCCAAAGAGTGAGCTCAACTTCCAAGCAGTTAATAAAGTTTTAATCCCTCAGGAAGAACGGCAGTAGAAATTCGGATATCATCTTCGACGCCACTTCGTACAAAGGTTTTTCGCAAGAGTATTCCACGTCGTATACGCACCTACGCCGGATGGGTCAGGAGGTTGTTGTCAAGCCTAGATGAGTACTCAAAGAGTATTCTGGAGATAATCGGACCAGGCATAACTAGAAAAAAAAAAAGGTAGACGTTACTAGGAGTAGTGATGTAATAAACTGGCACCGTAAATGTCAAGTACATTGTATTTCCCTTCCAGTTGCGCCGCGCTATGCAATGTGAGGGAATCGCCCAAGGATCACCTCTCTTCCATCCATTTTCCTCCTCCGCCTTTCCTCGGGTGTGTGTTATATATCGCTGTTAAAAGTTTCCAATAGCATCTTCCCTCTTCATGGTAACGATACTTGATCACAAACCCTCCTCTCGTTATACATGCTTCTTCTAGCTCACTTCCTTCTCAACAGTAAGATCCTTAATCCCAGTAATAATTTCAGCATCTGCATCTGGCTCAATCACCTTGGGCGAAGCCGATGAGCTTGAGCCGACCCTGGACTGCTGCTCAACAGGCACTTGCAATTGAGCTTCAGTTGGTTCCCTCTTCCTCTCCTGCTCCTTCATCGCCTGTTCAAGATCGGCAGCGGCACGTCTGAGCCCTTCCTCTTCCTCGGCGCCGAGTCCTCCGTCTTCCTCCTCCACGTTGTCCACCTCTTCTTCTTCAACTATTTTCTCTCCCTCGGCGTCCTCGTCGTCAGTGATTCCCTCATCCGCATCTGCATCCACATACACGCTCTCCAGCATAGCCGAATCAACCATATGCTCGGGCGCAGCCTCCTCATCATATTCTCCCTCCTCTTCCTCACCATCCTCACCATCATCCTCTCCATCATCTTCTCCATCATCTTCTCCATCATCCTCTGCATCATAATCCCCATCCTCACTTGCCACGCTTCCTTCCTCGTAATCATCCACCGAGTTCCTCGAGATGTAGCTGTCCACAAGACCGTCGCCAACCTCCTCCTCGTCATCCTCCTCGTACTCACTTTCATGATCATCGACAACAGCCGGAGCAGATGTCTTTCGGCCACCGCTGCGCTCGTCCTCGGTGTCACTGGCAGAGAACTCGTCAAGATCCAAAGGCTGGTCTCGCCAATACTTGAAATCCGTATAATCCTCGCCACCGCCTTTGATGAGCGTGGTGACAGGTGGGAAGTAATGGTCGACGACCTCGGTCATGTTGACGTAACTCAGCTTGAGTTTGTTGAGACTCAGCAAATCGAGTGACACCTCTGCATTAGAGTTGATGGTGAAGATGCGGTTACGGGGCACGTCGACCGTGCGATACGAGATTTGGTCCGTGAAACGGTTGCCGAACCCGGCGTAGAACGGTGTGCGATCGGGCCCGTAGAGGTTGCGGATGTCACGAAGCGTGGACATCTTGAAGATATGTGGTTTGCGGAGATAGATCTCGCGACGGAGAGCCGCCATAGTTCGGTCGGGTGAGAGAATGGTAGGTCCGCGTGGGAGACGGTACCCGTCTTGAACGATACCTGCGAGGTAAGTTCGTGTAGTGTCGGCCTGGCCGACGGACCGACTCGTCAGATACATTATGTTGTACCCGTTGGCTACAATATCAGTATACAGCTTGGCTACACCAGCATGCGTCCAGTCGCGCCCGATCATGTTCAGCACGTGGCCAAGCGCATCAGACTTTGTAATGGTTCCATCAATATCCGAGATGACCACGGGTACTTCGTGCTTCCATAAGAACATGTAAGCCTGGCAGGTAGCCTTGTTCACGGTGAAGCTCATTGAGTTCTCGCCGGGCTTCAGATTCAGGGCCTTCAACTGGTCGCTAGTCAACCTCAAGGTCTTTGCGTAGTTCCGATTGGGATCACCCGCTGCCGAACTGCCAGGAGAGCTTGGGGGTGTCTGCAAGGTCATCTGGCCGACATCAGAGTCAGCTCTCCTGTGGATCGGTAGAGTCGTGGCGGCTGAGGTATCGCTGGCATCGCTCTGATACCCAGGGTCAGAAGCGGCATCAATGTTGCCCATGTGAGATGCAGAGCGTAGGGGGTCCATCGTCCTCTTCATGGCGGCTTCCTTCGCCTCGATGCTGCTGTAGATCCAAAGGTTTCCATGCTCGTCAACGCCAAAAAGTGCGCCGATGTCGTAGTTGCCATCAAGCTCCTCCGTGAGAATCTTGCGCGCAAGGATCTCGGCCCTGAAGGCGTCTTCCTCATTGTTTTTGAACGCAGTCATATCTAACATGAGGTCTCCGGTCTCGCTGATGTGGTTAGGGATATTGGCGGCGGCGAGCTCTCGAGAAAGGTTCATTGCCCTTTGAAGAGCTTCGGGGGCTGTAAGCGGCGGCGGGCTGCGGGATCTTTCGGTGTGGCTATCGCCTTCTTCTGAACCTTCGTGGGTGCTGCCATCGCTTGGCATTCTTCGCGCTGATTGCCGCAGAAGGCCGTCGCTATGTGGGCGAAACGGAGACCATTCGCCCTTGATAGGATCTGGTGATACGGAACGAGGTGTGAGCAACCCTTGTAACCCATGCTTGTCAGTATATGTCGATCATGGCGGCGTGGAAGCTGGACCAAGCGCTTACCGTCTCGTGCTAGTAGAGCAGTGGGAGGAGGCCTGTGGTTGAAGCTCGAAGAACGGGTTTTGCCTTCTACCGAGTTCAGATCGAGTGATTCGGGTTCTTGTAGAGGCCCTGACTGGTCGGCATTGAGCGGAGGACTAGAGGCGGGCGACACGATGGGCGACGTCTGCATGCTCTGAGGGATGGTGTCTGTAGTTTCGAAGACGAAGAAGGCCTCGCCTCCCTCGCCCAGCTTCATGGCATAGTCCTGCTTGACGCCATTGACCCTGAATTCGACCTTCTTTTCGGATGGGCGCAACAGCGAGAACTTGCCAAAACGCACGTGAAAGGGAGAGCATGCAAGGGTGCCATCTTCCTGCTCAACGACTATCACGTCGATGGCACCGCTGAGGGTCGCAGGGTTGATAGAGTTCCAGGCGGTAGAGACAGAGTCGCCGAGACTCCTGACGTACTGCATGGTAGGCAATCGCAACTCGTTCTGTCGTCGAAGGATGTGTCCCTCTTGATGGTCAAAGGGGAAAGGAGGGGGTATTTGTTGGTTATGTCGGTATATGGGGGGGCAGTCAAATGGCAAGGCTACATGCGGTCTGGACGTTTATGTAATGTCGACCGCAATCTCGATTCTCGACTTCGAGTAGGCGACCGGTAGGCGACCGGTAGGGGTTCTCTAGTGTGTTGGGCGAGGTCGGGAAGGCCGGATGAACGCCCGATATGCGTAGGGAGATATTAGGCTCTGACCACCCGGCCTCAATTGCTCTGTCGTCTTGAATGGATGGTTACTCAACGTGGTGTGCGTGAGTGAATCCGACTCGTTCACTTCCCGTCTGGTGGTGCGAGTATGCCAGGAGAAAAGTATTGAGGAATGCGCCGTGTTGGGGGACTTTGCCCAGTGAATGCGGATCTGATGACGAACGTGTGCCGCGGTTCAAGCAGTGAAAGACAAGGAAGGTAGCAATCCAAGTGGGATGCTGGGTGCTTGGGGAGTGGATATTGCCAAAACGACTGTGGTGGCTGCAGCCCGTGTGGGATTGATTATGCGCAGTACGGTAAAGCGCTGTGTGAAAAGTCCGAAAGGGGCGTTTAAATCCTTTCTTCAGAATCATACCTATGCATCGAACTAATGAACCAAAATCTACATGGCAAGAGCTCGTGTTGTAGAAACCTTTTGTTTTTTTGGGGCATGGCGAACGGATCGCGATCCGCCGAGTAGAACTAAGGAACCGGCTTTGTTCGTTGTGCAGTCCAATACTGGTATGAATGTTAGCTCGAGACCTCGGGTCAACTTCCCCGTGGGTTTTTAAGCGGCGACTATGCTTTTTCCAAACCAAATTGCACTGTATTGAATTTTGTGGATGCCGTTCGGATCTATATCCAGCCATTCATTGAGTCCTTGACAGGTTGGGGACAATTCAGAAGACATCTCATCCAGTGTTCTACGAGCGAGTGCCTAGGTACCAAGTTAACAACAAACCAGTCGAACTACAAGACAATACGTAGGTATCCACCTCTACACACCCGGTGAGGCGGAAAGAGAAACGGGATCATCCCCAACGCCCAACCTTCCAGAATCACGAGGGCGGTTCCCTTCTCAACAATCAGATCTAATTCTGTCTTGATGAGTTCGGCCTCTTGTCAGGGCAGCAGACAGGCACAAGGGACTGCATTTGCACCGGCTGTTCCCCATCATCAACCCACGCGCACTTTACCGACTTGGTGCAAGTCTCTAGCGATACCCTGTAAGACGGCAATATAGTCATTTACCAGCCTGGTACCTCGGCGGTCTGCAACGAGCTAACACGGCTGGCCAATCCAACCGCACAAATTGGTGTCATTAGCGGTCACGGGGATGTTTGTTATGCTGGACTACCAGGTACCCTTCAAGTTCCCCTGATGTCCTGCTGACTGACACTGACACCGCGAGTTTGGAAATGGAACTTTTGCGTATTATCACCTTGTCAGTCTCGTTTGACTGACGTTATATATAGTGATCCAACGAGCCGTCAACAAGCGGTTGTCGCTGTGAAAAAAGCAATCGCTCGCTGAGTGTCCATTGTCTGTTCCCGGCGGTATTACTCGCTGTGTATCCCGGGTTTCTATCGGCTTACGGGTACACCTGGTGACACCAAACTGTACCCAAGGGGCGAGGCAAGATACATACACTATCTACAAAGGTGCGAGGCCTCTGAGGATACCACGGCTTATCCAGCGCCTTTTTTCTTCGTCCCGCATACAGTACAAGACAGAGCCTTACCCCAGCTGCGTGGAAGACGTGTAGTACCGAATGGGATTATGGACGGCAATCCTAGCCTGAGTGTATTGCCCGGTGCTGAGGATCACTACGTCCTCAGTCCTTGGGGGTGGGTGGTGATAATTGTTGGGAATTCCGGACGCGTAACGGATCGATTTGATGAGTAGAGCCCTATCCCCAAGCAAAAATGGTGTGATGCTTTATAGTTAGTTGCCTTCCAGCTAAAGGCAGGCTACAACATATGTATAAAGCAAGTAGTGCACTGAGAGGCACCTTTTGTCTTCTCAACGGGATTCAGTTAAGATGGCAGGCTGATCCGGGGGTCCGTCCGAGGCAACGACTTTGTATTTCAGTCTTGTGTAAGTCACCACCCGGCTTAGTGACGGGAACGGTAGGAAATCTCAGGATAGGTAAAGAAGAAGAGTAAACTGTCAGCAGACTCTCTTTGGCCATTGAAAGAACTAAAATATTATAGGGCAGATTGCGCAACATCTTACAAGCATTCCACTCAAGCTGCTATGTATTCTCAAACTTGGGAAAGCCTACATACCGGTATCAGAGGCCAAGACAGTTCTTTCCCGATCGCATATTTAGCAGTTCTGGCTCAGGACGAGAGCTACCTTTTTGCGCCCATATGGAACCCTCTGGGATATCACCCGAGCGTTTGCAAATTGAACAAAGACCCCTTCAATGATCTTGGTTTCACTTCCTGTCCCAGACCCGATTGTTCGCGACTAACGAAAAGTGGTACCATGACAGAACGGCAAGGCGGTGTTTCCGCGTGGCTTATCAGATATATCCTGTCCACCATCTAAAGCGAAAAGAGGACTATAGTGTAGTACACGTACTTGGTGTGATGGGTAAGTTTAATTAGGTGGGGTAGGTACTAAACGCATAGTGTCCGTGCAAAAAAGTACCTGACAGGGGGGTTTTTACTTTCGCTCGCGACCACAGTAATATCCCGCGAGCATTTGGGTGAATCCTTCTCTCCCGCTTCCACACACCAGTCCTTCTTCAAGCGAGCAATATCGACTGGGCAAGCTGGGGAATAATAGCGGGGAAGATGAGCAGGCGGCTGGCGGGGATGGGATAGGCGCATCATCGCGAACTTCCATTCCATCATGGGCTTTCGGTTGCGGGGATCCTGGAGGGCCGGGGAACATCAAACTGTTGTCTGGAGTTACGTACCGTCCCTTGGTCTGATCGGCTTTGAAGTCAAGTGGAAGTGCGCCGCATGGCCTGATGTCTACGATGTTTCAGCATGTAGTGTACCAGCCCATGGACTGTTAGGAGTTCCCTCAGATACTGATATATTGCACTAACAGACATGTATCCACTTCCCCAGAGACAATGCAGGGGACGTCAGGATGTGGATATCCACTGCGAGAGAGAAAATCCTTTTTGCAGGGAAAGCACAGCCGGACAGCCTGCTCTGCTGCTGCTGCTGCTGCTGCTGCCACCGTCCGCCCGCCGAGCGCTGTGAGGTGGCTCATGATGCCCCCTCACGCCGCTGTGACTTGTCGCTTCCTATCAAACTTTCCACTTCCGAGATGTCTTTTGCACCCACCTCCACCTCTTTCCAGCTGGGTTTCCACTCTGTATGCAACGCCCCGGGCTCCCATCAAGACGGAGTCTTTGACAACTCGCAACCACCTGGCCCAGAGTGCCATAACATTGATTTTCCTGCCGCTGCCCTGTCGTGGGCTTCAGTCTCCAGCTTGGACACATTTCACTTCACTCCAGTTCTTTTGCACGCCAGCTCTACGCAGTCGACGGATGACAGGAGGGAACCTGTGGAAGTCTTCTCAGTACACATTCTTATTTTCTCTTTTTGTACAAAGATACACGAGTATCTTCTTGCCTATCCTTAAACCCCTTTTTGGTGTTATTTTTTTCTTTTCGTTGGCTGGAATTGGGTCCGTCGCCCGTCGCGAAACCACGACAACCGAATTTCCTCTATTCTCTCCTCCACCACGATCCAAAGTCCTGCTGTCGCCAACGTCATCGCGCCCTCTCGGGCTTCGCATCTTCGCTCGAGACCTTGAGACTTACCTATCTCGGCCCGACCCTTCGGAATATCGACATCAAGCTGGCCTATTCGCACTTATCGTAGCGCTATGTTATGGACCTCATGGCCATCGCTGGTGACCACGGTTCTCATCTCCTCGGCCGTCATTGCTTGGTGGTTTACGGAGTCTAAGACCACGGCTCTCAACCTGGTGGCGGCCGGTAGTCTCTTTGCGTCTTGCTGGGCCGTTGCTCCGGACCGCGTTCGCGTGCTTGCGACGTCTTTATACGCTTCTGCGCTCAACACCATTACGACGGCTCGCATCGATCTTTGGGTTTTCAGGCATGCCAGCATGCTGCTGACGGGTGGAGCTGTCTTTTGGTAAGTTGGACCCGCACCTGTCATCCCATCACGACGTCGTCTCGTTCGATTCGGTCCAGGCTGTGAGCTAACTGCGTGCGCATGCGCTTGTAGGTTGGTGCAGCGGGCATGGCAGACGCTATGGAAACCAGTTCCTGAACTGATAAGCATCCTCGGCGTGGATGTGCCAGATCCTCCAGAGGTTTCGCTTGCCGGTATTAAACCTAACTCGGCGACAGTCAACTGGACGCGCGCACCGCCCAATCGCTCTGTCCAAAAGTTCCTCATTCAAGTCAACGGGGTAGTTGGTGAGTAGGCGCCTGGAACAAATCCCTTTGGAACTCGGTGGCAACCAGTCCGCCACGCAAAAGGCAAAACCCTAACATATTCATATAGTGGGGGATGTTCCGGCAAACCAAGATCCCGCAATAGTCGTTAGCGGTCTCAAGCCAGATCACTTTTATAACGTCCGCGTCATTGCCGTTGGATCCAACAACTTCCAGGCCGGCAGTCGGGTGGTACGCTTACGCACCTTCGCTCAAGACGGACGACCCCAGCTCGGTAATGCCCGGTTGCCCTCCAGCTTTACGATCGAAGAACCCAGCCGCATGAAACAATCTGAACCGTTGGATGAGAATGCATCTTCACGACCTCCCATTCTTGCATTGGAGACCGCAACAGCTCTGGAAGGTAGTGCTTCCTCGACCCGGGATGGAATTTCTGCTGCTGCTGCGGGGCCTCGCCGCAATACAGTTACCAGACGTCACTCGCCGTCGACAGCCAGCCTTGATCAGCCTCTGGTACGGGAAGAAGCTGCGGAGGATCCTACACAGACGCTGCCAGAGTTAACACAACGATTCGAGAGCATTAGGAAAGAGACAGAAGAGGTGACACAGCTGATGACCAAGGAGGAAGATGACATCAAACGCCTGTTGAACGAGTTAGAGGCTGAAAAGCAGGAGAAGAGAAGAGAGCAGAAGAAAAAGGAGGAACAGACTGAAAAGCTGAGGAGAGATGTCAACCTTACTGATCGGGTGATGCGTAATGCCCTCTCCCGGAAAGCCCACAAGGAGAAGGCTTATAAAGAAAAGCAAAACGAACGCTCCAAGTTTCACGACGACATCGCCAAATGGGAAGAGGACATTGAGGATATGCGCAAGGGGAGGGAAGGGTTCGAGCAGGAAACCAAACAGCTACAAGAAAGTCACGATCAAGAGGTGGAGCGACTGCGTGACGCTAACAGTGACCTTCAGGCGTCCTGCGTCGGTTTAGAAGCAGAGTTGAAAGAGCTCAGGGAGCAAGTTCGGGCTCTAGAAGAAGCTCGCAAGAAGCTTCCTGGTGGCGAGGAAGACGCGGAATGGCGTGAGAAAGAGGCCGAGCTCAGGAGAAACTGGCATCGGCGCCATAGAGAACTCCAGGAGACTATGAACTTCGAGAACAGGACTACTCGGCGACTTGATGATCATCTTCGCTCCCTGACGATGCAGATACAGCAAATCCCTCCCACCCCTTTCGGTCTTTACAGCCAGGCAAACACCTCGGGCTTGGAATTTGAGAGCGGAGCACTTGGCCAGACCAAGAGACGAAGCAGAACGACCAGCTCACTTGCCAATGTGTCGGTACCGTCTCCGTTACCAACATATTCCCAGCTTGATCCGACTGTACCTGTTAATGGCGGCTATGCCAGCGTGAGATCGGCAAATGCGCCCCCCGGGTTTGCCCAAGGACCGTTCATGATGGGCCTTTCGGCGGACATGCAGTCGCGTCACGACGAAAACTCCAGAGCCACCTTTGCTCCTCTCAGTCCATCCGCTACGGCCTTGCTTCCTTCGAACATCTTGGACGACCTAGACGATGACGAGCCGAGCCCGGCAGCCAGATACGCACATGATAACTTTGTTTCACAGTCAGGCAACTCTGTGGACAACGAGCCGCAATCGCCTACATCTTCAGGGGAATCTCCCAGCTTGGTAGGTAGCCCTCATGGATCGTCTCTGAACTTGGCCTTTCCCACCCTCTCTGGGGATCACCCCGATCCCCGGTCGTTGAACGCAACAACCGGAATAGGGTCGCCCAACACAGCGGTGGGCTCAGAGCGCAAGATAGGCAGCCTCTTCACTTTCCCAAGGACCAGGGCTGCAAAGGTCATGGAGACCGAGGGGCCAATGCTCGGGAGCCTCAAAAATGGACAGAGCCAGTCTTTCCCTCGCCAGACGGACGAAAACGACGCGTTGGCCAAAAGTCGACGTATCAGTCTCTCGAGCACATGGACCGTGTTCCACCGACATTCGGCTACCCCTGAAGTACTTGATGGCCCATCCCCCGCTTCGCGCATGTTTTCGACACGCAGCTTCAACCCCTTTGCGAGCTCTTCAAGGCCGGCTGCTGGGATCTTTGCTGAACGTGACCCTAGTAGTCCTCGACCTGCTAGTATCGCGTCGAACGAGTTCCCACGGCCTTCGACGGAATCCGGGTCGATTTGGGGCCCACCCCTCGCTTCGGACGGAGCAGGACTTGTCAAAAACAGCCGAATATGGCCGCAAGACGCACCGTGGTCTCGGAATCCATCTCGCCGGCCGTCCCTTCATGGGTCGCCGTCTGCGCTGAAAACGACGCTAGCCTCTGCTGACGACGAGATTCTGGACGAAGGACCACTGCCCAATGTTCATGAGGTTGGTGTTATTGGCAGACCTCCGCCACAACATGCGTCCAAGGACAAGGATAAAGCCATTGGACGTTTGAACCCCAACGCTCCAGCCTTCAGCATAGGGTCATTGTTTAAAAAGGAGAAGGAAAAGGATGGGGCAAAGAAAGCTAAGGACAAAGGGAAAGACAAGACTACCAAGAACAAGGAACCAGGTAGTGCATCCCCGAGCCACGTGACTCCGATTGTAGCCTCAATAGAGATGTTGCTGGAATCTCCTACGGAGTCCCGTAAGTCTCGCGATGGGATGTTGCTGGAGCCTACGCGGACGTCAGTCTCGATGACGGAATCTCACGAATCTCTTTCCCTCGAACACTCTTTCTCAAACACCCCCTCGGAGGCACTGAGCACTGGCCTGTCAGGCAGCTTCAAGGAGGACAACGTAGTCCGCAAGCTGTTTCGTAAGGGAAGCTCGGGCAAGTTCAGCCTTGCGGGCCGTTCGGGGGGTGGTCTCTTCAAGAAAGGACCCGGAAGTACGGCCAGTGCTTCGGATAGAGGCGTTTCGATTGGTGATCGGTCGAGCATGGATAACCTCGAAGATCTCGGCGAGGACGCGCTGGGCCCAGCATTCTTGGCCCGCAGCTATGAAAGTGTCACCAGTAGTCCGAACGTTGGTCCGTCGGCCTCAGCCAGCAACGTCAAGGACAAGTCTGCAAAGGAGAATAAGACTCCTGGCGTGAGCTGGCTTAACTTTGGCAAGAAGGGAAAGAAGGAAAGGGAGAGTGTGGAGCTGGAAAGGGAGAGGACTCAGGTCATGAAGCCAGAGGTGTAGAAGCCAACGGCTCAGGACGGTGATGAGATCGAGGACAAGAATGGCTGAAAGGTCGTTATTGTTCATGTGCGTCGTCTGTATATGCCGGGGTTGTGTCTTCCCCAACATGTTGTTGACCCCGAAAGATCAAGCGTATTTAAAAGGCTGTCTGTCTATACTACTCGTCGTCATTGAAGCGGAGAAAATACTTTAAAAAAAAAAAAAAAAAGTCTTGTGTGTATTACCAAATTACCAAAACATACGAATTACAACGTAATTGAAGCTCTCCTGGACCAAAGTAAACGGAGAGTTTGAATTTAGTACACACCACAGCTGATCCAGTTGTAGTGTAGCACGATGCACCGGGCGGAATGGGCGGATTCCACTGCACGGATGGCTTGGCATCGCACCATTTGCGGGTGCCTGGTGGGGTTCAGATCCTGAAGCTCAGAAAGGTGCTTTGTAGTTCGTAGTCTGCCGCGGCAAGTACTGTGTAGTTCTAGTCCTTCATCATCTTGACGGCTCGTAAACAGCAGCATCACCAAGCTGCATCCGACAGAGCCTTTCACCACACGACCTGCCGTTGTGTCCAACTCGAATCCCAGGCTACGCTCCAACAAAGAGGTCATAGTCGTCCCTTCGAGACCCCGTCCCGTCCAAGCCAATCGACCCGAGAGAGCTCGCCATCCTAGGTATTCGGACTCGAATCTTCTTCCTCCACCCTCGACGACAACCATTTTCAACACAACCACCACTTGTCGTCGCTTAAACGATCACCATGGGCGGCGATGTTCCATCAACGTTCGGGAGCGCCAGCAGCAGCAGCCGCAGCAATGGTCAAACAGACAAGCAAGTAGAGCGCTTGCCGATGCCCTCCAGGAACCCTCTGCCTCTCTCGGCGTCACAGGAGGCCCAAGTCCGAGACATCTTTTACGCCAGGGTCAGGAGGCAATGTGCTGAGGAAATCAAGGGTTGGTTCTGTTCCTTGGGCTTTGCGTCTCTTTCCCTGTGTGATTCCTTTTGTTTTTTTGTTTTTTTTTTTTGTTTTTTGTTCTATGTTTTTTTTTTCCATCTCCCGCCCCGTCGGCGGTAGCTGGTAGCTACTCCTCAACCCTCCCTCCTACCGAGCCTCCACCACTCAAAGCCCTTTCGTCCTTTTTTTTTTTTTTCTTTTTTTTTTTTTCGTTTCCTTCTCCTCTTTAGCACTCAATAGTTAACCACATGTCTTCACAGCCTTCGCCGAATGCGCCCTAGGCCGCACCTTCTCCGTCCCCTTCGCCTGCCGTGCACCCCACCGGGTCATGAACAACTGCATGAAGTTGCACGCCACGCCCGCCGAGCAGGACGCCGCGCGCGAGGATTGGTTTGCTTTACGTATGGAGCGCGCCCGGGAGCGCGAGCGCAAAGCCAGACGCAAGGCCGAGCAAGAGGCCTTTTTGCGCGAGTGGTGGGGTTTACCCGAGAAGGACCGTGAGGAGGCGCGCAGGGAGCTCGAGAAATTAAATCAGAAGGAGAGAGTGGGTGGGTATGTGGGGAACAATCGCCTGAGAGATGCTAATGAGGCGGCGGCGAAGAAGAGTAAGTTGTTGGAGCAGGCGAGGTTGGAGAGGGATGGGATCGATCGGGATTTGCATACGTGAGGCGGCTTTGGGGGAGAACAGACGGGGAGAGTGAAGGGAAAGAGCAAGAAAGAGAAAGAGAAAGCGGGAGAGAGGGAGGGGGGAGGGGAGGGGGTTCCGATGAGGACAGCGAGATGGAAAGTCCGAAGGGGGAAGAAGCGAAGCGCGGGAGTAAGACAATTTTGCGCCCTTGACTACAACTCGCCAGAACAATAAGAACGACAAACTCGAGGTGCAGTGGTCCGGGGTTGGATTGGTGCCGCAAGGCTCTGAGGCTGTTGCGCCGAGTCCTACTTCCGGTCAAGATTCGAGTTCCGGCTTTCGGACGACAATCACTCTCGACGCTTTCTAACAGTTCCGCGGGTTTTGTTTCATACAAACTCTGAGAGGCTAGCCTCGCAGCTGTGCTGTTGAAGAGGAAGGTGCATGTGGGACTCTACTCTGTACGCTTCGGTACAAGGGCAGTCAGGGGTTTGTTTACTTGACCAGCGGGCAAGGAGTGGCTAACCGAACCACGGTTGGTTTGCAATGGCGTTATGTTTCATAAATCGGGGTTGGTTCGGGAAATGGCACGGCAGACAAGGGAGAGGGTGAACTGCGCACATCTACGAAGCATCTGTATAGTATCAAAAAGGAGCCGGAGGGGGACGGGATATAGGGAAGTCTTGTAAGAATAGAGCCAATCGAACAAATCTCTTTATAACATAAGGTAGGTACAATTAGGTTTTTTTTTGTCCCTAGTTTCTTTTTCTCAAACACGCTTCTCTTTTCCTTCTGTCCCCCGTATGAACATACTTACTTCCGTTTACTCCCCTCAACCTTTGATTCATCCTTCCTCCATGTTGCGCCTGTTTATGCCCTACCTACAAGTTTATATGCATCTATGTTGCCCATCAACCTCCCCAAAAGATGTTTTCGAGAACCTACAACCTCACCTTCCCACGCGATGCTAACCCATCGAGAAAGGGTGAAAACACAACGATAGAGGGAATAGCAAAGCAGTCTACTTCGCCGCCTCACTTCGACTTTTCTTCACCCTCACCCCCCTCTCTCACCTTCACCTCAACCATCGGCCTCGGTACCCTAAACGGATGAGCCTCGGTATTAAACACCCAACCATCCAAAGTCACCCCCTCCTCCCCACCGGACCCTTCCGCAGCGCCATCCTCGGGACTAAAAATCAAATAGAAATACTTCAAAGTCTCCGCCATCCAAAAACTCTCCATCGAGTCGGTTTTGGTGGTCGGCTGTCCCGGATTTTGAATGTGCACATCCTCGATGGCGGAGAAGGCAAACTTAGTTTCTGTGGCCTTGGTGATGGATTGGAACATGCGCCAGGCGATGTCCAAAAGGTCCTTTTTCCCCGTTATGCGGTAGAGGACAAAGAGGGATTCGATGGCTTCCGGGCGGAGGAGGTAGTGGGGGTCGAGGAGTTTGGTAAAAGGTTTTGGGAGGGTGGTTTGGGAGTTGGTATCTGACGCGAAACGGGTGTTCATTGCAGCTGCTGTAGCGGCGGCGGCGGCGGCGGCTGCGGCTTTCTTTTTCTTTTGTCGCCATTTTGCTTCGTTCCATGGGCATTGGGCGAGATGGTCGTCATTTTCTTCGGCCTCACGCTCTACCTTGTCACACGGCACAAGCTCGGAAACCTCAGGCATGATGCCAGTGGAAAAGGCTTCATACGCCCATGCACAGCCCCGGGCTAATTGCTCGCCGATTTGCACATGGTCGGGCCTGTCAAAGAGCTTACCGCCCAGCGCAAACATACCGCCGGCAAAACAACCGAGGTGTTGGACGCGCGGCTGGAGATTGGATTTATCGCGTTGGGTGGACACGGCGTTGCCGGAGAACAGGATATCGGGAGGAGGAGACCCAGCTTCGTATGTATCGTCGTCGCCGGACGGGAGCATGGGGCGGAACAAGAGGTGCTTAACGGCCGCGTCCATGGCTTTGACGTGCATCAGTTCGTAGGAAGGGTCGAGGCCGCCGAGGAGGAGGTAGGTCTTGGAGAGGTATTCGTAGGCGGAATCGGCTTGGGCGCCGAGGGTGAAGAGGGTGTCGGACTTGGGGCGGGTTCCTCCTATGAGGTCGATGTACTTTGGCCAGAGGCCGGGGAGGTTGGTTTGCTCTTGGGTCTTTTCAAGGTCCTTTTTCAGCTGCTCCACGATGGAGTAGTACTTGGGGTCACCGGTTAATTGGGAGAGGCGGGTGAATTCCATGGACATGGAGCCGAGGACTGCAAGGGACTGGCGTGATGAGGCACTAAGCTCACCATTCTTAGCCCTCTTGAAGTCATAAGAGTTGGCAGGTAGGTGGTTGGGAGTGTCAAAGCCTGCGAAGAGCATGTCACCTAGCTCTACCGCTTTCTTGAAGAGGATCTCCCGGCGACTCAAGTCGTAGGCTGAGAGTAGGCCGCCGAGATATCTGATGTTTGTTTCAAACAAGCTGCATTGCGAAGACGATGACTTATTCCAGTCGATGGCCCCCACCGCGCGCACAGCTTCGTCGAATTCCTCCCTCAACCCCATGATCCAGAGAGTGTCGAGCGAGTCCACCAAGGTAGCACCCCATCCAGCAAAGCTATCCTTTCCAGTCAACGACTGCGGAGCGAGCTCGTCATGTCGCCAGGCAAACGCTCGGTAAGACTTCCATGATTTTTGAGCGGCCTTTCTGACGGCATCCCTTCGATACCATTGGGTCTCGTTATGCGCCTTGCCAAGTTCGTCTGTGGTGAAGGCATATTGAATACGCGGAAGCTCACGGGGAGGGCCTTTGGGAAGCTGTACAAGTGAGGATTCAGGTATCGGATTCTTCATTGGCCGACTTGCCCAGTCGAAACTTGTTGGTATGTACTCTTCAACTGGTTCTGCATCTTGCCATCCCTGAGATCGAGATAATGAAGGATAGGAGAGGTAGGCAAAGACAAGGAAGAAAACGACTAGGAGAAGCAGACGCTGAAGCCTACGACCGCTTGCCAAAGGGGTCATGATTTGGGTGAAGAGCTTGGCGCATTGCTGAGCCAACTCTTGATATGCCAAGATAACTTGAGGAGAGAAAAAAAAGATGAATTGCAAAACCCACACGCGTAAACAAGACAATAGAAAAGACTACACCAAGCCGGAAGGACCACCTGCGCAAGCTGTCCATGTCCATTGCTGGACATGAAGCTGGGTCAAACCTGCTTCCATCATGCCAGCCGCGCGTTGGCGGAGCTCGAGGACCACACTACAGTTCAAGTATGCATGCCCAGAATCTTGGAGGGAGGGGGCTGAGGTCAGTGACGCCTTGAGACATCATCAAGTCTCTTATAAGACAGAGCCTCAACCCCATTTCCCGCGAGATATTGCTTTCGTTCCACATTTGCCGATCATCATCGAGGCTGTTCTCGTAGCTCGCTTGGGCGTTAGTTGTGTCCAGGGACACTAGCCAGACTCAGAACCGAAGCATCCGGGAATTTCAGACGAAAGTGGGCTTGGTATTGGTGAACGTCATCTCTAGATGTTCCAATGCCCGAGAAAGGCATAGCATGCACAGTGGGCATGAAGTTTGGAGTCGGCACGGGTTGCTAGTAAGGTCCTGCAAGAAAGACCTGATGAGAGTTTCAGCGACAGATATCGTGACCTCTGCAGGTGGTTGAACACATGAATTTACTGTATTGGACGTTGGAGAGCGTGGTCAACAGCGAAAACGAGTCGCCAGCATTGGGAAAGACTTAGAAAGACGGAGCGAACTAAGTCGGATCGAAGTCCCGACTGTATGAAACAGCCCCTGCACTGTCCGATCAGTGCATCCGTCTGCATCTGAAGTCGTGCTTGGAAGGCCCGGAACCTTCCCGTCGCCAAGCCTACCATGGCCCACTCTCATGCAGGCCCTTTCCTAGGCGGTCAGCGGGGTGAATCTCTTATCGCTTATCGCAGGTCCAGGCTCCTCCAAATTTTTGGAACCAGCCAGCCACGCTGTGGAAGACAGCGTTCAGCGGCAACCAAGGTCACTTTGCAGCCGCCTTCATTGCTTCCTTCGATTGACTCCCTTCCCTTTTGCTGGCGTCTCTCCCGGATCATATCTTACCTCTCCCACATAATACAGACGGACATCAACCATGTCGTCGCTACGGAACAGGTAAGCTCAGGTTTCCTCCTTGGAAGTCACTTGACCAAACGGAGACTAATCCGTCGTTACCAATTGCAGCGTTCAGCGCCGCTCCCATAAGGAGCGTGCCCAGCCTCTCGAGCGCCAACGTCTCGGTCTCCTCGAAAAGAAGAAGGACTACCAAAAGCGTGCCAAGGACTACAAGAAGAAGCAGGAAGTCCTCAAGTCGTTGCGCCAGAAGGTCGCTGAGAAGAACGAAGATGAATTTTACTTTGGCATGATGTCCCGCAAGGGACCCGGTTCCGCCATCACCTACGACGGCAAAAAAAGGAACTTTACCGGCACGGTCGAAGGCGATCGCGGCAACAAGGCCATGGACGTGGAGACGGTGCGCCTGCTCAAGACACAGGATCTGGGTTACCTACGGACGATGCGGAACGTGGCTGCCAAGGAGGTGCGCGAGCTGATGGAGAGGGTCATTCTTGCTGGTGGCGCCGACGTGGACGACGATAGCGAGGACGACGACGATGACGACGATTTCGAGGACTTCAATCAGGGTATGGGCGGCAGCAAGAACAAGAAGAAGAGCTCGAGCGGGAGGACAGCACCCAAGAAGATCGTCTTTTTCGACGCGGCAGAGGAGCGCCAGCAAAAGTTACAGGCAGTGGAAGACCAAGAGATGCAAGATTTCGATTCAGAAGAGGACGAGGAAAAGGCAAAGGAGGCGGGTCGGAAGGCGCGAAACTTGGCGAGACTGCAGAACAGGCTCAAGCAGGCCAAGAAGAAGCTCCAGGCCTTAACGGATGCTGAGACGGAGCTGGAGATCACACAGGCCAAAATGGCCAAGACACGGACGTCTGGCGGCATCACAAAATCTGGTAGGAGGATCAAGGTTAAGGAGAGAAAAAGGTGACGGACTCGACAGAAGGTTTCCGTTTCTTTTCTCCTCTCTCTTTGTTCACTTCCTCACTGGTGGGCTGCTTTTCTTTGTTCCGATTTTCACTGGGTTCAATTTTTTCCAAGGAGCGATTTGACGACATCAACACAAATAGTCTCGTCTGAGGGTTTCATTCAAATCCGTCTATAAAGACAGCTAGGTAGCTTCCATAGCTACTGCTGTTGGTGCGGTTGATGATGATGATGCAAAATACCAACCACAATAATACCCGACCCATCATCAAAACGCCTGAAACAAAAAATATACACCTTTTCATGAGCTCTATCAGCATGATTTTTCTTTGGGACCTCCAGCCGCCACTTTCAAGGTGTCCTTGTTGGGGTATTGCCAAGTTGCGTGGGTTGCTATCATCCTTTTCTGATTTAGGATTTAATTTCAGCGTGTTCCCTTTCCTACATCATCGCATATCTCGTCAGTCAAACGCCTCTCATCATCGCAAGGGGCACTTCTTCGGGAGATTCTGCACTTACCGCATCCTTTTATGAGCAACATGAACACCTTAAACACCAATGTCGCGCACCAGATAATAGCCTTAAAAGCAAACTTCAAGACGGCAATAAGCCCCCTCGTGCAACCCGGCATTTTCTCGTTCTTGGCCTTCATATCCGCATTCACCTGTGCCTCGATATCGAGCTCGAACTGCTCGACCCGGGTCTTGATCCCCTTGACCAAGTCCTTCTCCCTCTTCTTCCTCTTCTTCTTATCATCCTTATTGCCGTTCTTCTCATCCGAGGTATTCCTTCTCAGCACAGACGACAAGGACTCCGCCAAGCTCGACCTCTGGCTTCCTCCAACGCCGGCACCACCACCAGCACCCCGCAACAACGACGGTGGCGGCTCAAAGGTCTCCACGCGCGTAAACTGCTCATCAGCATGCGCCACCAGCACCAGTGCAGCAATGGCCACATCGATCAGGTACACTGCCTCGACATGGCTCGCAATCGCCGTATCAATCTCCAGCCATCCCTGGCCCGTCCCATCCCGCGTCAGCCGGCCCAGGTGGTTGGGCGACTCGATGTGCTCGAGCGTGTACTCGGTGCGGCTATAAGCCGCGTTGCGCTCGACCGTGATGCAGAATGGCATCGCCAGGGCCGCGTGCACCAGGTAGTGGTTGCCCGAATCCGAGTCCCATACCAGCCGGCCGCACTCGTTCTCGGCCGCCGCCACCGTCGCCGCGTCGGTCGTGGCCCGGTCGGACACCAGGCGCGCCGCTGTGAGGGGCCATAGCTGTGCGACTAGCCCGTCGTTGGGCGGCTGCTTGCGCGTGGCAGCTTCGAGGGTGGTGGAGATTACTTCTTGCCAGTGCTTCGCGTCGTGTTTCTTGGTCTTGGTGCTCTTGCTGCTGGCGCCGCCCAACGCCCCGCCGGAGCCGTCTGGGTTGCGGGAGAAGACGGATGAAGGACGGGGGGAGGGCGTGCTGGACGAGGCGCGGGCGCTCGGAATAGGCGAGGAGGAGGCCGAAGAGGTGGAAGAAGCAGAAGAGGCCACGGCCGAGGCGGCGGAGATTCCCACCGCCGCGCTGGTGGACTTGTCACCCTTGAAGGTCTTGTTGGGGTCGTAGCGCGAGAGCGAGACCAGGGCGGACGCAGAGGTCGGGTCGACCCGCAGGCAGTAGAAGGGCTGGTTGGAGGATGAGGAGAGCGTGTAGACGGGCGCGTAGGCGTCCGACGCCATTTTCAGGCAGTATTTCCGGCCTTCGAGCTGGGTGGCTCGCCATCCGTTGGCGGCTTTCCAAAGACCACGGAGTTCCTCGGTGGTGTTCACCGTCGGTATCACTGGCGGCTCATGGCTGCGCGTTACAGGCCACCGTTGGTTGGCTGATCCAGAGGTCACCGACGGGTTGGCTACTGGCCGGTTTCTGGGATGACTGGGACCATTCATACCAGCATTGGTGCCAACTTCACTTTGCTGATCGGTGTCACGGGCTGAGTACATGGGTCTGCTGATGGCGGACTGGGGAATATGTGTAGGACTGGCCTGGGTTGGGTAGTAGTCCTGGCGATCTAGGGGCAGTTCGGGGTTATATCGTGGGAATATCGATCGAATGGCAGCTGGCTGTGGTGGCTGTGGTGGTTCGGGAATGGAGGTAGGAGCTGCTACCGATGCTGTGTTCGAAGGTTCAGGAGTATATGCAATCGGTGGGTTGGCGAACGAGCTTTGAGCTCCCCTACTCTGCTGCCCGACCAGCGTCTCTGCCTCGGACAGTGTCGTCTCGCAGCGTGGAGGCGCGTCTGCTTCGGAGATGGGCGCAGCAACACTGGTTTCGACGATTGGATCCGATGACATGTTCTCAACTAGTGGTGGTCGCTGCGGTTGCTCCTGAGGTTGCTCTCGATGTTCCCGCTGCTGTCGAGCCGAGTCTAGCGCTGACTGCCAAGGGTTGTTGGAGTTCGAAGCCGACCTTTGCTTCCCTTCCCGTAGTACTACCCGTCCAATTGGCGATTGCCTTCCTGCCTCCCGGGACGATGATGGTTCTGTTGATGTCGAAGGTCGACCTTGAGGTGTCGCAGCTCTCGACGGCCTTGAAGGTGGTCTTGGTGTGACGTTGGTGTTGGGGAAGAGGGAGAACCCGCCTCCTGCCTGAGTTGTTGTCGCTGTTGACATATCTGAAAGTGTGATCCTAATGATTCAACGGAGGTTATTCCAGGCGTAGTGGTCGTTATTCGTAGGAATCGTCGATCTTCTTTCCTCTCCGTCTTCGTTGAACTCAATGACCGACCCACGAAAGGTCAATAGAGGTATCACAAGGAAATGGCAGTCGACCTGCTACCGAGACATGATCGCAGATCAAATAAAACGAATAACTCAAACCCACGGATCTGTCAACAGATATCCGGACGATGGCATCAAACGGCTCCCGGGAGCAGAGAGCAGAGAGCAGGGACAGGACCGGCGAGGCGGGAATAAGGTTGATAGAAGAACCAATCCGTCGGAACACGACAAGAAGATCTTGTCATCGGCACAGGAAGACTGGGCCCCCTCGATACATATTTGTTCTACCATGTGGTCTTGCCCTGCCGTGGGTGTCCGCAATCATACGCCTTACACAGTGCTCTTCCCGCTCTCGCTCCCAAGCTACACGCATTCTCTTACACCCGGGCGAACTAGGGCTCACAGACCGGCATAAAGACCGACGCTACCCAAGAAAAGGTCACTGATCAGGGTGGAAGAAGAGCAGCAGCACCGAGGAGGTGCAGCTCATTGCTGTGTGGTCTGCCCTGGCTGGCCCCATCCCTTCCGAGTGCGTGAGATCCTTCCAATCGCCATGTATTCTAAGCGCTTGGTTCCTGGCTTTCGATGTGGGCAACGACTCCAACGGGACCGGGGGGGGCACCGTGGACTGAGAAGAGACCAGTGGTCGGAGTGGTTGTTGAACTTCCACTTGCGTTGGGTGGGCAGACAGGAGAGCTGTGAGTGGTCGGAAGCAACTGTACGGCGGGAAACCAGGTGAAAGATAGAAGGAATAGCCGCCCAAAATAGCTGCTAGGATCAGTTCTGATCCATTCTGGGGAGTTGCCTGGGGTTGCTGGGGTGGTGAGACCCTCTTGGACCCCTGGCTCCGATGAGACGGACTTGGGGGCGAGTGGCCAATCAGCGACCGGATCACGCTGCATCTAGACGCCCTTTGTCAAAGTCGCATCGAGCACCACTTGAGCGAGCAGCGACATCACATTTCGCAAGAGTGTGTACTGTCCTCTGGCTGGCGGAAGTGGTTTCCATATCGACAACCTTCTCCAATACCGCCAAGAAAGTTTGGTCTTTTCTTCACTGCTCTGACTGCCCGCTCTTTGCGTACCTCTACGCGCAGTTGCATTCCTGTCCCTCCCGTCATCCTGAATGAGTTCTTTCGCAGGAAGTCTTGGCATTTACTACATCTGGCAGTCGTTGATTGCTGTGAAAGTGTCATGCTTTGGAAGATGCGGCGAGGTACTGATGGTGTCTTCATTTACGGTTAAGATGATTAAGATGATGAAGATCAGGTCCAGGCTCTGGTATACAGATGCAAGTGTGTCAACAAATCATACCACTTGATGCCGTCCCGAGGGTATGTGACCCGACAATGTCACTTGGGTTGCTGTTCAACAGAGTCAAATTTCAGTGATCTCCGCCCCAAAACCTCCTCAGCGCGATTCAGCCGTCGCAGACACATGTAGCGGCTGTCTGATTGTGATCACGACTTATCAGCTGCCGATAGGGTCGTTGAAGCGCAATTTGGCCCTTGTGCTACCTATAACTAATGTACTAAAGGATGGCCATCAGGAACGGCCGCCGCGTTGACAAGGTCGCTTCAGGTGGCCGCCTTTGCCGCCACGAACAGAATAACCGTGTTATCGCTGTCGAATGGGTACGGTGATAAAGACCGCTTTCATTTCCGAGCGGCGTTGTGCAAATCAAGGAATATCCGTTTCGTGGGATAATGAGCCTTTGTACGTCGGCCGAGGGCTGGATAAGCTCACAGTCTGCACAGAAACCCCCTTTTTTTGCTTCTACACTTCTGGGCTGACTTCCAAGGTGAGACGGACTCCTACAAAAGTTCAACTAGGTTTCTCCGGTTCTGTATAAACCTAAAGGCCATTCTCAAGTATCGATTAACACGAGCTCCGTGCGCGGCTTGATTAAATCCGTCCTGGATTTAGTTCTCCTTCGCCGGTACGGAGATCCACGGAGACAGACGAGATGCGTCACTCTTTACTGGGAACGAATATCACCTGCGAGTCATAACCGGCTGTTACCTTTTTTTTTTTTTTGTTCCCCTCCCCTTCACATTTCTATTTCCGCGCCCTGACTCCCCGCATAAGTCAATGAGGCAAGCTCATGAATTTCTATTATGGTACCGGCACGAGAGACTCCCGGATAAAGTCACATCTATTAGTTTCGCGATGTCGTGCGTGGGCACCATGCACAACTTCTTCATGGGTTGCGGTGAGCTGTTGTTACCTACCGATTCGTTTGCATGGATGGATAGAAGAAGGAGAAGAAGAAGAAAAACATGCTTCTAGACATATATTGACCATCCTTTCATTCTCTATCTCCGCGGTCCCGTGTCTGGAATTCGCAAACGAAGATCCACTCAGCATGGGCATAGTGTACGGTCTTGGGGGATGAGTTTTGACACTGATTTGAATGCAAGATCTTCGATGCGACATTCCACAAGTATTTTACACTCTGTTGGATCTCAAAGCGAAGGTGGTTGGCTGGTTGCATGGACTGCTTGGTAGTTGCTGACTGGGCTTCTCTTTATTTATGTCGTAGACTACTATGTAGACTAGATGCCTGACGCAAACCGTTTGAACATTTGTTCATGTGAGAAGAAATTTGGTGAAGAGTAAATCGAGAACTCACGTTGGATTTTGGGAGATGAGATGAACCAAAAGAATGAAGAGTTCGAAAGGCGTTGCCATGGTTAGCCCTCATTTTGCTACTATAGTCGCAGACGGGTGACCTAGTATAAAAGAGCGATGCACGATCTTGAGTTCTTATATCTTCCCGATTTTCCATTGGAGATAAATTGATGTCCACCTGTCGCATTCTAAATAAATTTAATTGCTTCCCCTCTCCCCCCTCTCTCCCCCCTCTGTCCCCCTTTCTTTTTCGGACAAGCTCACAAGAAATAGCAACCCTTTCCAGTCGCCTCCGGGGTCAATTTTCGGAGAACTGCCAATCCTTTCGTACTGTTCGGCCCAAAGTGGGGAATTCCGGGCGGTCTTCGAGCCGGGACGGGGCAGCCGCGCTCTTAGACCGGACTTTGTCCGTCAGGCCACCACTACATACAATCTGGTGCTGGTTTGTTTGTTAGCTCGGTACCTACGTCGGTACACTGGACGAGATCAATTTTGATTTTGAATTGTCCCATACTTTATAACTGAATGAGTAGCTAGGTAGGAATCGGAAAGGGAAGTTGACCTGAGACCTCGAGCTAACAAACAAACCCGTATCGAACTGTACATACCTCTTAAGACGGCTGGCTGGCTGGCCGCGCCGCATTCGTTCCATTTCCGGAATGCTTCCCGAGTCTGCCTTACGGTCGGGTCATTCCACGTTTTCTAGCTCCTCTTGGCGTCGTGTGCTTGATTTGAATCGTGCTCTGCATATATGTGTGTGGGTTATCGTGCCATGGGCGACACAGTTGATTATCGTTGGCGATGATTGCGAAGACGGAGCCTTGTGTTGATACCAACCGTTGACGTATCTGAAATAGTATATAAGGTCCCCAAGAACCCTTGTATTTTTGATATTGGCAACACCTTTCACGACTTACAAGACTCAAGGATCGTCGTGTGAGTTAGTCAATCCACTAATGCATTTGAGGTTTCCAGCCACCACGACATTTTCCCTCAGACCGTCTTCTACTCGAACCTCGCCGCCTCCTCTGATTGTGAGCTTCGCCCAAAGACATTCAGCAGTGTGCTACACCACGAGTCCACGGGAATTATTTAGCATCAACATGTCCAAATCCAAGGGGCATGTTGTCGTTATCGGGTTAGTATGACATGCATCATGAATAGCAAAATCATTGCTCTGGATACTTAATCTAACATGACTCCAAAATCCAAGCGCCGGCGTAATCGGCCTGTCCTCCGCCCTCGCCCTCCTCGAAGCCAACTACACCACCACCATCCTCGCCAAAGACCTTCCTGCCCCCTTTGAATCCATCGATCCCCGATCCCAAATCAACTTCACCTCCCCCTGGGGCGGCGCCCACAACCGCTGGGTGCCCCCCTTCCCACCCTCCTCCTCCACTCCTTTAACCCCCACCCAACAAGCCGAGCACGCCCTCCGCATCCGCGAACACGCCTTTTCCCTCTCCACCTTCCACCGCATGCAACGTTTCCAGAACCAGGGCCAGGACCAACAGGCGGGCATCACCTTCCTCAAGGGAATCGAATACCTCGAATCTCCCGGGCCCGAGTACACCTCCCTGACCGCCCAGCGGGCGTCACAAGAGCTAGGACTACCCGGCCACTTTCGCGTCCTGGAGTCTCACGAGTTCCCCGATGACAAGATTCAATGGGGCTGCGAGTACGACACGTGGTGCGTAAACCCGATGCAATACTGCTTGTTCCTCTTGGGGCAGATCATTGCCAGGGGCGGGAAGGTGTTTAAGCGGGAAGTGCGTTCTGTCGGGGAAGTGTTCCAGTTATTCTCCGACTCGGTCCAAGAATTCGGAGCGACAATCCCCCAAGCGGACGCGGTGGTGAACGCCACCGGCATCGGATTAGGTGACGACGAGATGGTATTCCCCACTCGGGGACAGACGTGCTTGGTGCAGGAACCGTGCGATGCGACGGTGACGAGACAGAATGCGGATGGGACCTGGACGTTCTGTGTACCCAGAGGGTTCAAGGCGGGCACCATTATCGGCGGGACGAAGGAGCCAGATAACTGGGATCCGAAGCCGGACCCGGAGGTGAGGGAGAGGTTGTTGAGGGCGTTTGAGGGGACGTATCCGAGCATATTGGCAGATGGGAAGACGCGGTTGACGCCGGTGAGGGATATCGTGGGGAGGAGGCCGACGAGGAAAGGGGGGTTGAGGCTGGAGGGGGAGGTGGTGGATGGGGCTGGTTTCGTGATGCATGCCTATGGGTTGGGAGGGAGAGGGTATGAGCTGTCTTGGGGTGTGGCGGAGAGTGTGGTTGAGGGCATTCAGGGGCATCTTGAGAGCGAGAAGGGTTCGAGGTTGTAGAACCACGGCTCGATGTATAAGTCAACATATGTCATGAAATTGAATTTTCACTTCACTGACTTGTTGCTGAAAGGGCATTCTAGTCCAATCGTTATTATTGTCTATCGTATATTGACGTTCTAAGCTCTGTATGGGCGCCTGGCCCTTCATTCTATCACCCCCGGTCAATTAGTTAGTAGAACTACCGTGGCGAGGGCACCCGTCCCTGTGTTTATCGGCAGCTTCAACCAGCTGGTACCCCCGCATCAGTCATGATAGGGTTCTTCGTCATCGTCCTCCTCATCGCTGCCAATATCGTCATCTTCGATACCCTGCTTGAAGATCACCTTCTCTGCCAACTGCAAGGTTTTCCTAATCGGCAACCCAATAACATTGTCCACGCTACCCTCAATCTTGTCAATCAGCACCATACCTCCGATTCCCTGGATAGCATAGCCGCCAGCCTTATCCGCACCCTCGCGCGTCTTGACGTACGCCTCAATTACGTCATCGGGCAGTCCGTCACGGGCCTGCGCAAAGTAAACCTCGGTGTCTTCCACGTGCGTCTCTAGCTCATATCCCGGATGGGCTGCGTTGTCCTTTGGGGCGAGGACGCACACAGCCGTCAGCACACGGTGCACACGCGTGTCACGAAGGTGTTTCAGCATGCGGATGTGGTCCTGCTCGTCGCGCGGCTTCTCGAGGATCCGACCGGAGCGTGTAGCGATGACGGTGTCGGCGGAAATGACAAGGGCCGGATCGGCAGGCCTCTCTACGTTCTTGTTCTGCTCGTCTTCTTCTTGTTGCCTGAGGGCCTGCTCGTACACGTGCAGGATTTTGCGGCGGGCCGTCTCGGCAACATATTCTTCGGGAGTAATCTTGCCCTTTTCGACGTCTTCGGGCTTGTCTGATGGGAAGATTTCGACGTCGTTCAAGCCAAGCTGTTTGGTAAACTTGTTAGACCTGAGTAGATCGTAGTATGAAGAGGATGGCTTACCTGGTTGAGGAGAGCTTTTCGTCGAGGCGACGCCGACGCCAAAATTACCCTCTTGGTACGTAGATGATCAAGGATGGGAAGCTGGAGGGGCATAGGGCCCCGTTTGATGGGGGCGCTCTGCCGGAGCGGTATTCCATGCCGGCGGGCTGCGGCGATGTAAGCCGGTGGGTTCTCGGGTTCAGGAGCAGTAGGATCCATGGCTGGTGTCTGTTTGGGTTATAGGAAAGTAACTAAGACGATGTTTTGCCAAAAGTTGTACGTAAGGTAGAGGTAGCAATGGAATGGGATACATAGGGGGGTGGAACGGGTATGGTGCCCCTGGCAGCGGTGGAGAGCTCCCGGTCCCGTTGGTGCCGGTGGGGGAGGGGCTCAGGGCTGCTGTTCCCTAGCGCTGCTTCAAGTGCTGGGGGAACTGGAAGGTGCCCGGCGATCGTCTTGTGTCAACCGAAGGAAGCTCTGGAAGTGGTGCACGACAGGGGAGTTAACAAATGGAAGCCCGCTGGAGGAAGGAATGGTGGCCCCACTTCACTTTCCCATGTACACCAGCGGCGGCACTGCGTCATCGCCGGCACTTGCTCAACGTGCTGTGATCAGCCTTGCTTGACCGTCACTACAAAGCAAACAAGCAAGTCACAATTTCGAGATATTGGACGGATTGCACGACTGGCAACACCAAGGAACAAAGTAGGAAACCTCGTGCGACGCCGAGACAAAGTGGTAGCTTACGCAGAACGGCAGGCAATCGTTCATTCGTATGCATCTACCTTGGTCTTCATGAATTGCAGCAGCTCCTCAGGCGCCATGACGAGGTTCTTCTGCGCCGGCTTGTCGCCTGTCTGAAGACCGCCGGTAGCATCAACCGTGACAGTGCCATTGGCAATATCCTTGGGGCCGACCACGATGATCATACCGTAACCCTTGGTCTTGGCCTCGCGAATCTTGAGCGACAGACTGCGCGCACTGTCATCGAGGTCGACAGCAAGGCCCGACGGGGATACGTGAACATCTGCAGAGTCTGTACCCAGCAGCACCTTCTGCGTATTGCGCGCGAATTGTAACACCGGCTCACTGTCGTTTACTGTGAGGACAATGCCCTGTCTGGGGTTCAGCCAAAATGGCCATTTGCCATTATAGTGCTCAATCAGCAAAGCGAACATGCGCTCCGCCGAGCCTAGAACAGCCCGGTGGATCATAACAGGCCTCACGGGTCCGGAGACAGCAAGGAGCTCGGGGTCCGTAGTTGTCTCGCCCTTGGCCTCCAGTTCGGGAGCTGGCGCCTGATACTCGAGCTCGAACCGCTTGGGTAGCTGGAAGTCGAGCTGGATGGTGGCCGTCTGATGTTCCTTTCCGTCCGAGTCCTTGAGGATTACATCGATCTTGGGCCCGTAAAAGGCACCATCTCCCTCGTTCAAGGTCCATGGCTCTCCCGAATTATCCAACGCTCGCTTCAAGGATCCTTCTGCATGCTCCCAATCCTCCAGACTACCGATATGGTTTTCGGGTCTCGTGGAAAGCTTCAAACGATACGATCCCAGGCGGAAGTCCTTGTATACGCGTCGGATGAACTCGAGGGTCTTGCTGATTTCGTCCTCGATCTGACTCGGTCGACAGAAAATATGGCCGTCGTCTTGGTGGAATCTGCGAACACGGGTAAGGCCACTCAATGCGCCCGAAATTTCGTTACGGTGGAGGGGGCTAAAGTCGGCGTAGCGAATGGGGAGGTCGCGATAGCTCCGTTTTTGCGCCGCGAATATCAGACAATGGCCAGGGCAATTCATGGGTTTGAGTCCGTACTCGTCGACTTCGCCGGCCTCGGTAACATCGGCGCGCGAGGGAGATGTGCTCGTGACGGTGAACATGTCGTCGGCGTAGTTCTCGAGATGGCCCGACTTGGCCCAGAGCGCCTTCTTGTAGATGGTCGGGGTAATGACTTCCTGAAAGCCATAGTGAACGTATTGCTTGCGGAGGTATTCGACAAGACGGTTGAAGATGCGGGCGCCATTGGGCAGGAAGATGGGCGATCCAGGGCTGTAGATCGAGGTCATGAAGAGCTCCTGTTGTGTTCCGAGATCGCGATGGTCGGGCGCTGCCGGCTTCGTGGGGACGGGGTTCGCGCTGGCGCAAGACGAGCACAGCCGATGGCGCACCTGGACTTGGGAGATGGCAGGACGAGCGAGCGGTCTAGCTCGGGTTAAAAGAGCCCGCGAAGTCCATCTTGTAAGCCGTGGAGAGAGCATCCTCCCGTCGCCTCTCCACACTGTCAGGATGTGCGGTTGTCGTTAAGAGGTGTTGGAATTGGGTGTGATCACGGGAAACCCGACTTTTCCAGACAGAATGGAAGCTAGGTCGGGCGGCTGGCTTCTTTGTCGCGCTTGTCTTGGCGATAGCGATCGGCTCATCCCATATGCCCCTGCCGCTGCAAGGAGTCCCCGCCCTGGACACCACTGGGCCAGCCCTCCAACCTCAACCCCGGCTCGGGGCCGTTTGCCGTCAACACATATCAGTGGGGCACCTGTCTGCCGGGCGGGGGCAGGTGACTTGGGGTGATAGAGTGATAGGTACCTCTATGGAGGTGTAAGTGAGACACGCGGTGCTGGCCGTGAATCGTGATTCTTCTCGACGTCACTCACCACTTCAATGTTCACCGAGTCACCGTCCTGCTGCTCTCTGTGACCGACCGAAGTCGACGATACAAAGCAAGGTCACCAGAACTCTTTCTTTCTTTACATCATCCCGTCCCTGTGACAGGATATGCGCTGCGGCACATACATACACTGTAGCAGCGTGCATCGGTACCTTACACCACCTTGACTTGACGTTTAGTTGCCTTCAGTCTCCCTTCTCTTCTCCGCCTACCCTACAGTTTAACCTTCACCTAGTCCATTTCCGTCGCATTCCAGTTGCTTGGTTTAACGACATCTCACTCAGCCTCATCTCTCTAGGGCTATTTGCTGGACTATCAAAGAACATACCCATCTCTCTTGTTCTTCTATACATCCTGTACCCGCGGAACAGTCACCTCTGATCTCACGCGCCTCAGCTGATAGTTCCGTTTTCACCACTTATCCCCGTGCATCGGTGCCTTATCGTGACTCCTCTACACGGTATAGATCTGTGCGCCCCTTGCTTTTGAGCGACTTGAAGCCTGGAATCGACTTCACGGTAAACAAAGAACCAGTTATCAGTTGCCGTTAAGAATTGGCCGAGTCCCCCCGCTGTCAACAATCAAATCAAATCAGGACACCTACAAGAAGCACTGTTGCCTAAGTTCACACACACCAACCAACAATCCCGACGTCCTTGGATCTTTACGCTCCATGTTATCGCGATCCTATCTCTATAAAACCTTGACTTCGCAACTTTTATCATAGCTTCCCCACGAGCTCATTCCATGGTGTTTATGTAACCATGTCGGGACGTCAACCACCAGGGCAGCCGCCCAATGTATCGAGTTCGTGGCGCATGGTCGAGGGAGGCGAGAATGATAGCTTCGACACCTCATTGATGCCCGACGACTATGATGGCAACGATATGATCCTGTCCAGCCAAAGCGATCACTCGCATATAGACGGGAGCCAGCCCTTCAGTTTGGACGGATCTCAACCGTTCAGTATAGGAGGGTCACAGGACGAGAGTCTCGAGAGTTTCCTACACAGAGCCGAGGACGACGATCAAGTCATCATGAGAACTCCCTTCCGGCCTTCAATTCCACAATCTGTCCGGCACGCTTCTCGCGAAAACATGAGACACCGGATCCAGCCATCACCACAGGAGTTTTACATGCCCATGGTCGATGTCGATAGCAGACTTGTCGACAGCCGACGATCCAGCACACGGTCGTCCATGACAGTGCGACAGTTTCCGCCTTCGCTGCCCGGTCTACGCCACCGACAAACACATCGCTCCGGCCGTCACGCATCAACAGACTCCCGTAAGAATCATCAATCGTCAGGGGAGGAAACCGAAGTCAATGCGGATATTGAAGAGAGGATCGAAGAAATGAGGAGGTCTAGACTTGGGACATCAAAACGACAACAGGCGCCAGAGATTCAGGGGTTTTTTGACCGATTTTTCGACTCAATACCGGATGCCGTTTTCAACACTTTTTCTTGGGCCTTGGGAGTCGTTGGCCTTGCGTTCAAATATGCGCAAAAACCCATCGCCATTCTGGCATCTGTATATCTCATCTTTGGACTCCTTTCCATGGTCCAGAACATGGCGACATTATCCCTCTATACGGCCCTATCACCAGTATGTCGTGTACCAGGCGCAAAATGGCTCAACCTGCCATTCTGTCTCGATATGTCTGCGAAAACAAACACGCACATCCAATTCGACCCTGTAATAGAGATTCAGGATCGCTTTGAGGGGGTTCTAGAGAAAGCTGCCGAAAGTGCTTCGTTGCCTTTGGAGATGAAGCGCTCCGAGCTAGCTATCCGTGACCTGCGTACCATGGTCCGCTACAGCCAGCTTCACGGCAAAGAGCAACTGATACTTGAATTTGACGGGTACATCGATGCCGCAAGCTCGGCAACTTGGGATCTTCAAAGGTTCAACACCCGCGTGGGATCAACAATAGATTCCATCATCAGCGTCAACCGATGGACATCTCGGTACATCGATGAACTATCGGATGACATGAAGCACCGCGGCATCTTAGGCGAGTGGTGGGACTGGGTCTTCTCCCCTTTTCAGCCATCCGCCTACACGGAGCGCAAGCTTCTGGACCAGTACATCGACCACACGATCCGCGTCTCGGACAAAATTGCCAACCTGATAAGGGAAGCGCAAGCCGTCCTGATTACGTTGCAGAGGGCAGAAGACCATCTCGAAGTCATATACGATTTCGTGACTAGAACTCAGGAACACATACAGGCGAAGAAGGAGGAGGTCTTTTGGGAATTGTGGACCTACATCGGCATCAAATCCGAGAACCGCAAGAGCTACAACAACCAGCTGGCGCTGCTTAGGAAGGTTGAGGACCAGCGCTCAGAAGCCGTAAAACAGGTCAGCGAACTCATTGTTGAGCTGCAGAACATTCAGGCCAGCCTGAACGGGCTAAGAGACCGGGTTGGAGAGCCGGAGGTGGCGAGGGATGCTGGTCTTGATATACCGCTATATGTACATGTCGAAACTATCGACAGGGGAGTTGAAAGGCTGGAATCGGCGAGGAATAAGATTCGGGATGTCGAGAATGAGCGTGTGCGGGAGGCGTTGGCTAGGGGGAAAGAGGAGTTGCCGGAGTTGGAGGCAAAGGCGTACAATAGACGTATTCCTGGTCTTAGTTGGTAGACAATGTCGAGGTCGCAAATGGCAGGTTACATATGTTGGAGCAGGGAAAGAGTATTCCTCGAAGCGTTCTACATGTACTTTTCTTATTTCTCAGGGGTAGTTTGGGAGTCGGAGGAGTTTGGAGTTCAAATTTAAACATTAAGTAGCTTGCCGTATAGATGAGTTTCTTGGAAACAAAATCCAAAGAGAAAATTCGCATACGCAATATCCTCAATCCATCATGTTACTCGTGATACAGATGGTGTTTCTTTTTCTTTGTCAGTGTAAGTGTGGCTACCCCTATCATCGTTGCTGGTGCCCTTTGGAGTTGTAAACAACGAAAAGGTTACATACACTGAGCTGTTACTAACAATATCCGCCTTATCAGTAAAAGTGTGCGGGGTACAGCAATCTCTGGGACAACATCCCACCGCAGTCGGTGTCTTTTACCGCGGTCGCATCTAGAACGTTGGAGGCGGACTGATAAGCAGCTGGTACAGAACCACGCGGGGGTTAAAACTAGCAGTCCTCAAGATGTTAGTGTCATCGGGGCAGAGGGCGTCATTGACCTCTTTTTCTTGACCTCGTTCATTGTCGAACTTGGATCGAAACTCTCGTCAACATCGACAGGAACAAGATGCATCTGATTCCCAAAGAGGTTAGTGGTAGTTGTTTTGTTGTGCCCCCGTTGATCCTTCACATCTGCGTTTTACAAGGAGACCAAGACACGTCGGATCACGGTTCAAACAAACGAAGGAGTCACGGACATCGATCGACATTGTGTGTATAAAAGCGCAAGATGACATTGCTTTACCCTGTGTGACTAGGCTGGACTCTATTAGGAGTGTGACGACTTCATAAGAAGGATTCATCCCAAATAGCAGCAAGTCCGCATCGCTAACCTCTTGACAAAATCATGTCTTGCTTTCCCCTTGACAGCTCGACAAGCTCGCCATCTCTCAGCTAGGATTCCTAGCTCAAAGACGTTTAGCAAGAGGTATAAAACTGAACCATTCTGAAGCCACTGTATGTTTCTCTCTTCCAGATCTTTTTCCTCTCACTTTCGCCTCACTATAACACACCCACTCACCCAACCCAGGCGCTCATCGCCAACAACCTCCAAGAGCTCATACGCGATGGCAACCACACCGTTGCCGACCTCATGGCCCTGGGCGCCACCATGCTCGGCCGCCGCCACGTCTTGCCCGAAGTGACCTCGACCCTGCACGAGATTCAAGTCGAGGGCACTTTCCCTTCCGGAACGTACCTGGTCACCGTGCACAACCCCATCAGCAGCGACGACGGTGACCTCGCTCGCGCCCTGTACGGCAGCTTCCTGCCGATCCCGCCCAATGACGACTCCGTTTTTCCCTTGCCTCCTGCCGCTGCCTACGAAGCCAGCAAGCAGCCCGGCGCCGTGGTTTGCGTCAAGGAGGCCAAGGTCAAGCTGAACGAGGGCCGGAAACGCATCCGTCTTCGTGTGACCAGCAAGGGAGACCGTCCGATCCAGGTCGGCAGCCACTACCACTTCATCGAGACGAATCCGCAGCTGGAGTTTGACAGGGCGCGGGCGTACGGGTTTCGGCTGGACATTCCCGCCGGCACCTCGGTGCGGTTCGAGCCCGGCGACACCAAGACGGTCACGCTGGTGGAGATTGGCGGCAACAAGGTCATCAGGGGCGGCAACAACCTGGCCTCAGGCAAGCTTGACTTGAAAAGGGCGGAGGAGATCATTGCCAAGTTGCAGAAGGCCGGGTTTGCCCACGCGCCGGAGGAGCCGGTGGGCGATGCGGCGACGTTCATCAGCGAGCCGTTTACCATGGACCGGAGGGCGTACGCGGTCATGTTTGGCCCGACGGTGGGTGATATGGTGAGGCTGGGAGCTACGGATCTGTGGATCAAGGTCGAGAAGGATTACACTGTTTACGGGGACGAATGTAAATTCGGCGGCGGCAAGACCCTGCGCGAGGGCATGGGGCAGGCGACGGGTAGGTCGGATGAGGAAACGCTGGATATGGTGGTGACGAACGCGTTGGTGGTGGATTGGACGGGCATCTACAAGGCGGATATCGGTGTCAAGGCTGGTGTCATTGTGGGCATTGGCAAGGCTGGTAACCCGGATGTGATGGACGGTGTTACGCCGGGCATGATTGTGGGAAGTTGTACGGATGTGGTGGCGGGAGAGGGCAAGATCATCACGGCGGGAGGTATTGATACGCATATTCACTTCATCTGCCCTCAACAGGCGGCTGAGGCTCTGGCTGCTGGTATCACTACTTTCCTTGGTGGTGGAACTGGTCCAAGGTATGTTTTCTCTCTTTCCCTTGCTTCTCCCCCTTTTGTCAACGCATCACGAAACTAACTTGCACCTCCCAGCGCCGGTACAAACGCAACCACCTGCACCCCCGGCGCCCATTACATGCGCCAAATGCTTCAAGCCTGCGACTCGCTCCCTCTCAACATCGGGATAACCGGCAAAGGCAACGACAGCTCCCCCTCCGCCCTTCGGGAACAGATCCTCGCCGGCGCCTGCGGCCTCAAGCTGCACGAAGACTGGGGCACCACCCCTGCTGCCATCGACTCCTGCCTAACCGTCTGTGACGAGCTCGACGTGCAATGTCTAATCCATACCGACACTCTGAACGAGTCCGGCTTCGTTGAATCGACCATCGCCGCCTTCGCCGGCCGCACCATCCACACGTACCACACCGAAGGTGCCGGCGGCGGGCACGCGCCGGATATCATCTCTGTTGTTGAACACCCTAATGTCCTCCCCTCGAGCACCAACCCCACCAGGCCGTTCACCCGCAACACCCTAGACGAGCACCTGGACATGTTAATGGTGTGCCATCACCTCTCCAAAAACATTCCCGAGGACGTGGCCTTTGCCGAGTCGCGCATCCGCGCCGAGACCATCGCCGCCGAGGACGTGCTGCACGATTTGGGCGCCATCAGCATGATGAGCAGCGACAGCCAGGCCATGGGTCGTTGCGGCGAAGTCATTCTTCGCACCTGGAACACGGCACACAAGAATAAACTCCAGCGTGGTCCCCTCCCGGAGGACCAAGGCACCGGGGCGGATAACCACCGGGTGAAGCGCTACATCTCCAAATACACCATCAACCCGGCCCTCGCGCAGGGCATGTCGCACCTGATCGGCTCCATCGAAACCGGCAAGCTCGCCGACCTGGTCGTCTGGGACCCAGCCTGGTTCGGCACCAAGCCCTCCCTCGTCATCAAGTCCGGATTAATCGCCAGCGCGATGATGGGCGACCCTAACGCCTCAATCCCGACGGTGCAGCCGGTTATTGCTCGGCCCATGTTTGCGCCCATGGTTGCGAAGTCGAAGGTGCTGTTTGTTTCGCAGGCGAGCTTGGAAAGTGGTGCGATTGAAGGGTATGGATTGAAGAGTAGAGTGGAGGCGGTGAAGGGTTGTAGAACGGTGGGCAAGAAAGATATGAAGTTTAATGAGAGGATGCCGAGGATGAAGGTCGACCCTGAGAGGTATACGGTTGAGGCGGACGGGGAGGTGTGTACGGCGGAGCCGAGTAGCGAGTTGCCATTGACGCAGAGTTATTTTGTTTATTGAGAGAAAGGGGAGAGGGGAAAGGAAGTGAGGTAACTAGAGGGGCAGTTTGTTTTTGCCAGGCGGGAAGGAGGAGGCAGTCATACATACGGGTTATTGTATACTCGGGCAGTTAAAGAGATTTGAGTTGCTTCTTCTTCGTTCTCCTCGTATGCCACTGTCGGTCGTCAATTCCAGATTACCGTGATGACTTGCTCCATCCACATATGGTACCGTTGCTAAGATTGTAGACGAGCTCTTCCTGTGACCAACACCTCCTTAATGTACATGATATCACATGATCAAGCATCATAGGTAGGCTCAAGTTCAGAAGCATGTATTGTACTAATCAAACATCGCGTAAAGACAAACACAACTCCATTTGATCCTCCGTGAATCAATGGGTGACCTCTTTGCTCTGCCAGTACCCACGGCATCAAAAGACCAAATCGTTATTCGAACACTGAAATTCATTCATCCACCGGGCCCATACATGCTATGTAGAGCTAACCGCCTTAAGTACAACATGCGACAGCCTCATATCATATCTTCAGCCGAATTTCGCAAAAAGAGCAGACTCCGTTTATCCTTAACCCCATATTTTTCCGTTTCGAGCTTGTTTTCGTAGATGGAGAACCACCAATTCCTCTTTAGCCGTTCATTGAATCATACAGGACAAGTAAAGTGAACCAAAGACCGCCACTTTAACAGAGAGAAAATAACCATGACGCTGACCCGCGCTTGTTGACATGGATACGCACTCCCCTTTCCTTTAATAGAGGGAGGGTATCGTACAACGGAAATGAAAATGAAAAGGAAAACAACCCAGGTTGTTTGCCACGAGGTATCATGAAAGAACCCGGCAAGGGACAAGCGTGAGGTGGATTAAGAGCGCTTCTAGGCCTTGGTCTTCTTGCGCCCCGACTTCTTAGGTTCCTCCACCTCAGCCGCCTTGACGTTCCGCTTGCGCTTCTTGTTCTCTGGGCTAGCGGGGGCGACCACGGGCTTAGCGGGCTCGGCCTCCTCAGCGGGAGTGGCAGTCTTGCGCCTGCGGGTGTCCTTCTTCTTGATGGGGGTCTTGGAAACGGGAACCGGTTGCTGCTGCTGCTGCTGCTGCTCCTCCTCTTCTTCAGAAACCTCGGGCACAACGTTCTGCTGCAGCTGCTGAGCAATGGCGTCCTGGTCGGTGGGGACCTCCTCGACCTGAGCAGCAGTGGGCATCTCGATATTGTACTCATCAGCATACTTGAGGGCCTCGTCATCGGTCATGTTCTTGGCGTTGGCATTGCCGTGCTTGTAGGAGTGCACACGGGCGTTGTAGAGGCGGAGATTGTACTGGTAAGCGTTGTTCCATCCCTGCTTCTCGGCAGCACCCATAACGGACCAGCGGCGCTGGCCCTCTTCCTGAACGGCACCCTTGGGGGCCTCCTCGCCCAGATCATTGGCAATGATGGGGCGAGCAGTCTGCATGTAGAGGAAGTAAGGGGTCAAGGGACGCTTGGGAGCGTTGGGGTCGTGGGTACGCTTCTTGCGCTCCTTCTTCTCCTCGACCATGGGCTGCGGAGCAACCAAGAAGCCGGGGAGCATGCCGGTTAAGGAGGTCTGGAGGTGCTCGAGATCACCGCCATTCTCGAGAGTGGTGCCCTCTCCGAGGAGAAGGTTGGTCTGACGCAAGTAGTCTTGGCTGAAGCTCTTAATCAAGTCCTGGATGGTGGAGAGACGTTGGTAGACCTTGGGAGGAGTTAGCCAGTCATGTTTCAAGCGTAACACATATTCTTTTCGGTATCATCTCGCAAGAAAACTCGGCAGCTTTGGAGCATGGCGTGTAGTTGACTGCGCGTGCATCTCTCTGAACGCTTGGTGTAGTTTGGCCCCTACGACGCGACAGGGCGTGATCAAGCCTTGAGGGAGTTGTGTCTATGTGCAATGTCCATTGCGCACCAAACAACAGACATGTTGGCTTCGAATCCGGGATTCTGGTGGTGGGATGGGGGAAAGGATACGGGGGGTGCTGTGGTTGGGAGAGCTGGTATAGGATGTTGAAAGGTGCAAGGCTTACCGAATCGCGGACACGGATGAAATTGTCGACGTCAATGACCCTCGCAGGGCCAGGCGCAGCGATGACTGGCTTAACGATCTCGGCGACCTTGTTGCTCTTGGGTGGGCGCGGCATGATGGCGGTTGGTTGATGGATAGCTGGTACTGGTAGTGATGCTGGTGGGCTCTGGCAGACGGTGTTGTGGTGGTGGTAGTGATGGTGTAGGGGAGCAGTTAGGGCTCAGGTGGAAGCTTGAGTGCGGGCGCGGGTGCGGGTTTTTAATGGAAACAGAAAGCTCGGACGGTTCCTGCTGAGTGGGTGCCTGCCTGTCGTATCAGGGCGCAACTGCTGAAAGGCAAAGGTTGGCGGTGGGTGGAATCCGGGGGGTCGGGGTGGTGTGTGGTGCCCGGCCGTCTGCTTGCTGTGTGTGCTTTGGGGGTGCTTGGGGGATGAGGACGCCGGAAATGAACGGAGAGAAGGGGAGGAAAAAATTCGCGGCGAATTTTGGGGGATGCGGGGGGATACCGAAATTTGTAGCTGCAGCGTGGGTTCCCAGCACTCAGCGCTGATTACCCCCAAGACTGGGCGGGCCAGAAAATTTGTGCACTGAGATGCAGCCTGATTTGGGCGCCCCCCAATGGAAATGGGACAAGGGGATCAGAGACCCCTCCCCGCAATGCCCACTGGGTCTCCGTTTTCCATCCGCGGGCGGGCAGCTGGAGTCCCGGCAGGCGATAGGTGTACCTCTAGCGACACCACCTCACAGAGCCCAGCCCGCAACGGGCGGGAGGCCAGGCAAGCAAGCCTGGAGCAACGGGAGCAGACACCCGAGCTCAACATGGAAGACAAGGGGTGGGCAGAAGAATGATTGCAAGGCGTTCTGATCATGAGGTGTCCTGGATCCATGGGCTGACAAGTAACACTATCGCGCATCGCAGACAAGACTTGTAGTGATTCTAATAGAGCCCCTTCCGACTTAAAGCGTTGAGTGAGCGGGACCATCAATTTTCAGTACATCAGGTAGGGTTGATTTCAATCTCTGGGATGAGTTCCTTGCAAGTGCAGCGAGGACGCATTGAAATCAGAAGACCCCCATCATTGCGCTTGCGTTTCCGGGGCAAGCATTTCCATCTAGAGGTACCAAGACTCGCCCAGCTCTCTTTTACACTACACCGTTCTCACGCAATAGGTACCGTACCTACTTACCTACAGCCAATGCCAAATACATCCGGTCTTGTGAGGTACCTACGAGATACCATCGTACAGAGAGGCCTGGTGCAACCAGGAGGACAAGGCTCTGGGTTGCTACCACCTTGGCATAACTCCCATCTTGAACTCTTTTCTCACAGGCTGATGCTCTCAAGATCTGTGAGGTGGTCATCTCCTTCACAGAGTCTGTGTCCGTCCTTGATGTACTCGAACTAATAGATGTACCTTCCAAGGTGGCCTCCACCTTCTTCACCCACTGCCATAGAGGTACACAGGTCATTGTCACTTTTACCTTGCGGTTCAGTTCTCTCTTACCATGAAAGCCCAGGTAATTACTGATCGTACCTCTACTGGAAATCAGAACATGATGTACAGCGTGAGTGTCATTATGTCTTTGTAACAGCCAAGCTGATCATGTTAACAAGTCTGAAGAAAGTTGATATGTCCTCGGGGCTGTTGGTATCTGAAAGACACCACTGTGTTGCAGCGATACTGGACTGGTCTGGATGCTGAAACCTCTGACGACGCGTCTGTGGTTCAGTGTTTTTGGCAGCAGGCCTTCGTTGTTGCACGCGAGCATGCATTTTCCATCCAATCCCATAGCGCGCTTTCTCTTCAGCGCCTTGAGACACGACAGTGTGTTGTTACCACGCCTCCACATCCCAAAGTAGCAAGGGTGCGCGAGAAGAGGGGCATTGCCTGAATTTTCACTGGCATCCGGTTTGCTGTGGAGTCCCGTCAATAACCCTGAGGTGTCATTGGCATTGGCGCTAGGGAACACCTCCTCAGTGATCTCACTCGCTCCCAGTGATTCCTGGGAGTGATTGACGACGACTTCCTGAAGCCAGCCGGCTGTGTCCACCTCCCGTCTAGGTCACCCACTCCCGCCATCACTGCACCTGCTCCTCAGGTCCTCAGTTCGCCCAAACATCCCATCCAGTTGCAATGTTCAGGACTTTCCTGGTAAGGCCACTAGAATAGAATAGAACTGGACGACCACCACCGTTCACGATAATTGCGGCATAGGAGCCCTGTTATTACAGTTAACAGTGTTCATAATGCACGGAATTCCGAAACTTCCTCCTAACTACGCTGCATGTAGAACAACCAAATCATTGCCTTGACTGAAGCACACATCGCACCCACGTTCAAATATCGCGAGGGTGTAAGACGACGCCCGTAGAATGCTGGAGGACTTTTGACTGCTGCCTTCCCAGACTCCAGTCACTTGTAAACAGTGTCGTATTGTAGGATCCGGTGACAATATGGGGGACTCCCGGTTCTCTTCTATCGTCACAGGATTAACGGTCGAGCTCTAGCAGGTTAGCAGATCCTTCCCAAGCAATGTGTCTCAGCCTTACAATCTTCGGTGTTGTGTTTCGCAAGGTGGTTCTGTTATGATTTGCCTATGGGCAGAAAGAGGCACCGAAACTCCTATGGATCTTCAGGATGAGCGCCTGCTATAAGCTCATCGGATACATTCGGTGATGTCCATATCTCGTTATATACAGCGACACAAACCTTCTACCTGGTAGGCGATCCTAAGCAGCGGGTAACTGGCAACTGAATCAAGAACCTAGGTGATCCACAGCCCGGCATCACAAAGGCTTACCCGCTGAAGGCGTCAGGTTGTTACGGAACACCAACCAGCGAATGGAGTCGTAAGTATAACTTAGCAGTGGTCAGGCACTCGTCTTTCTACCTTGACGCTGGAAAACGCGATACAGTATCATTCAGCGGTCCTGCAAGATGATGTCTGAAACGTCCATCAGCGAGAGGGCTATGAATTCCAAGAGCGTTTAGTAGTGGCTGACGCTGGTTTGTGTTGTCTCTTCCGCCTGCAACGGAAGCTTGAGTCCGGTTAGCTATGAATCCCAAAGTCTCTGCAAAGATATCTGGACGGTCTCGCCATGATGCGACAAACGGACTGCCTCACAGCACTACCAGACCGAGTCTTTGGCTTTCCGCCACGACCCACGATGATATCAGCATGTCCAAGCTCCAGAATTGCCCAGCTTGGATGGCTTGATACCATCATTTTCTCGCGTACAACCAAAAGACACTAAACTTACAGAAGAAGCTCAATCACAGCCTCAATCCTCAGATGAAACATTGTAGATAGAAGTGAGATGACCGATCACCAAGGTCATGTATCACTCGCATCCTCGTGCATGGACAGACAGCTGCCAGCCTCGGTTCTCCGCACTTTAGAATGTCGACATTGCGTTGAACGTCAACTGTACAGGTGACAAGGGGCCCGCTCCTACATGACGACTTTGAAGTCCCGGCAGGCGCCGCGCAAAAACCTTAGCTTCGCTTCAAGTGAATACCAGCGGTAGCAGCTCGGGTTGTCAGTTGGTCGGTTTGGCGGTTGCCGGTTGGGAGAGCTGACTGCAGCCCATCGAACGAATGGTCGGCTACGGTGAAGGACTGGTTGGAACGGGGGTTCACGATGTTGAACGGCGCTAGAACGGGAGTTTGGGATGGGTGCCACGGTGGTGGCAGGTGCACGAGGGTGTTCCTTCCACTCCGGCGTCGAGCCACTCACAGCGGAGAACTGGATTGATGCAGCGGAAACCCCTCCATGGCCCGTCTGCGCATCGTGTGAACCCCTCTCCGCTCATGCCCCAGCACCCCGAAAAGGGCCCCTCTCTGTGCCCCGCTATGGTGGAAGCTTGCTTGGTTGGAAACAAACTGGGGGCGCAGCGCTTGTTCCAACCCTGGGATTGCTGGTCGACGGTCGGGAACGATGAAACGACCGACAGTAGTCAATGAGAAACCAGAAGAGCGCTTATGACGGTGGACGTGATGTTGTTCTACAAGCGCTGTCACGGCGTTTGTCGGTTGCCGTTCGGGGACAATGAAGTTGAGGACGGGAATATGGCATGATTGATGTACATACCTAGCGGGAACGCCATCAGCTTTCTACGGTTCTCGTTCTCGTCCGTCTCACAACCGTACCCGGCTAGCTAGCCACTTCGATGGAAATGGGTTGGAGGTTGGTACGGCAAGAAAGGTAGTTGGCTGACTCTCCTGACATGTGCCGACGAACCCCCGTCCAGTAATAGCAAGAATCAGCATCATGCGGTTTCAGCTCCTTGACCTTGGAGCACTGCATTTGAGAGAACTTTTCTGGTTGCCTCCGGCTTTTGATTTTCTGTTAAAGGCAAACAGAATCCATCTTCATGAAAAGTGTTCACCTCCGTCCTCTTCTTCCTCTGAAACCCACCGGCGGGGTTACCTCAGAACCTATCCAGTGCAGACGACAGATACACATTTGGTATGTAAAATGCAAATCCCATCATCTTTCACGTAGTGTACTACCTACAAGTAGATGGCACGCTTCCCAGGACGGCGCGGGCGAGGGCGAATTAAGGGTCGAGCTAGGGAGAGGGGTGCTTTCGCGGTTTCCACTCCGTCCCATTCACTTGCTAGGTCGGTAACTTCAGCTAACAGGATGACGACGCCGACAGACCTGACCCAGCGCGACTCGACCGCCTGAAACGTACCTGGACTTTTTCCCCTTTCCCTTCTTTTCGATTGAAAACCAAAAAAATCATTGTATAGTCAGTAAAAGCACTTGTCGACCATACGAAGCCAAGATGGCGACCTTCAAACCTTATCCATTCGTTCTCGGGTTCCTCGTTATCTACCTGTTCGCCAGCCCCGCCTTGGCCTTTGGTGCCGGTAACATTGCTGGTATCTCCAAGATCGAGGGCCAAAACTGTATGTTTCAATCCACCTATATGCTTGGGCTGTTGTTAGTGGTGGTGCTAATCAAGGAAACAGGGCGCCACGGTGATATTGAAGATGCCCTCCTCAAAATCGTCATGGCCCGCGCCATGGGCGGCAAGACTTTCGACAAGCTCTCCGTTTCTCGCGTCTACTTTGGCAACTGGCTCCGCGACTATTCACAAGCCATCGATGTCGGCACCGTCAAGGCTGTTTCCGCCGAAGCCATCCGACTGCTTCTCTGCGTTCTCGGTTTCTTGACCTTCGGTTATGGTAGCCGCGAGTTCGAAGTCACCGCCGACCGCCTGGGCTGCTATCGCCCCGAGGATCATATCGACAACCCCAAGAACTATGCCGACAACGTAGATGCTCGCGACTACGATCCCCGCCTTCGCGGCCCCGTCGACGAGGAAACTGAGCTGGCCATTGACCCCGAGACCGGCATGAAGAACTACATTGCCAATGAGAACATTGGCATCATGTCCTCTGCCGAGCATGTTCGCAAGCTCTTCTCCAAGTGCATTCGCCTGGGTCGCTCATACAAGGAGACCAACGACAAGACCGAGCTCTATGAAGCCTTGCGCCTTATGGGTACTGGATTGCATTGCTTGGAGGGTAGGAAGACAATTACAGTACCCTTTGACGACGATTGTGCCTATTGGCTAATATCTTGCAGATTACCTCGCTCACAGTAACTACACCGAGCTCGCTCTGATTGAGATGGGCGAGCGCGATGTGTTCCCTCACGTCGGCCGCGACACTAAGCTGCGCATCCCGGGCGCTCGCCACTCTGTTTACCCTGTTGTCACCGGTACTTTCGGTGGTGTTGATTTTTTGCACTCCGTGACCGGTGAACTGTCCGACAAGGTGACCCAGAGCGAAATCGAAGATCTCGAGGGAACCCTGAAGGCCGGCCGCAACGGCGACACCAGCCTTCTTCGTGACCTGTTGGACATGATCCCCGATGGCTTGATCGGCGGCGACAAGAAGAACAAGATTGACGAAATCCAGGAAAATGCCGCCAATTCGCAGCTTGAGAACATGAGCGTGTCCCCCAGAGAGCCTGAGGAGTTCACTGTTTATGTCCAGCAGGTCTACCGCCAGGTTATGCCTGTCATCGAGTTCCACGACGATCTCCTCCAGACCATCTCGAAGGCTATTGAGAAGATCCCCGTCCTCCCCAAGATCATTGAGCAGCTTGAGGAGCAGCTTTCTCTTTTCGTTTTCCAGATCATTGCTCCGGTTATCATTCCTCTTATTGACCAGGTCAAGAATGAGCTTGCCACTGGCTCCACCGAGATTATCAACAGCAGCAAGAACGAGCAACTCGTTGTATTCGATGATGACAGCTGCACGGACCCTACCCACTCCATGTTGGCCAAGGACCATTTCTCCAACGTGAGTTCGCTGAGCTGACCCGTGGCTCGATATCTGACTGACTTGGGTTAGATCCTCAACGAGATTGCCGGTCGCACCGCCTCCAAGGTAGTCGGCTGGGTTGTGCCTCAGCTGATGGACGCCTGGGACGACGATGGCGCTGATGTCGACCGACTTCTGAACAGAATCATATACGGCATTCTCCATCACCCCGCCCAGCGTGACATGGGCGAGGATGGTGCCCGGGAAGGTCGCCAGATGATGTTCTCCTCCGTCGAGGAGTGGTGGAATGACCTGGGCGAGGACGCTCGCGAGGAGTACCGCCAGAAGCTCAGCCGCGATGGCGTGTTGAACGGCGAGAATCACAAGGAAGGCGTCCAGGACTGCGGTCACGGCTGCGGCAAGCCTCTGGGCATGCACAAGAACTTCAAGAACGAAGCGCCTGAGACCATGGAGGATCGGATCGCCGCTGCCGCCGCCGACAAAATTATGGGCGGCGTCAAGCAGGGCTTCTCAGAGTTCCTTAGCGGCCAGGCCAACAACAACCAGGGCAATCTCCTCGGCGCGGTCGCCGGCGGCATCCTAGGCGGTGGTTTCAATAACGAGGCGACCAGCGCTTATCGTTCCAGCGGCTACACGCCCGATGGCGGATACTCGGAGACCACGACCGAGTACGGTTACGATGGCAACCGCTACGGCCAAGCCGAGTACACCGAGACGCGGTACGATGACGGTAGCCAGCGCCAGGAGTATCGTCGCTATGAGCAGGACGACAATGGCGGCAACGACTACGGCTATGAGGACCGCCGATACCGCCGTGACGATGACGAGTACCGCGAGGAGCGCAGGTACCGTCGCGATGACGAGGAGGAGTATGGTGGCGGAGGCGGATACTCCCGCCGCCACGAGGACGAGGATCTGGCGTACCCCGATCCGGAGCGTCCCTCGAGCCCCAGTCTCCTGGATAGGATTGCCCAGCGGGCTAAGGACGCGTTCGAGGAGAGGAGGAGGGAGTACGAGAGCGGAGAGCGTGAGCGTCGTTGGCCATTCTAGGGGAAGTAGGCATACGTATCGTGGATCTATCGCCCGCTGGATAGGGAGGATTTGGGAACTTATAATGACGACGATGATTGACCAAGAGAGTCAAGTCATTTGGAGATGTTTCACACTTGAGGAAGGGAGGAAGAAAGAGTGAGGAAGAGGCTATGATACTGGCAATGCGAAGCTATCGAAGTTACGAGCTATGATGAAAACCAATTTGAGATTCCCCTTGTACCCTACTGCTTCATGGTGAATGAGCCGTAGCTTTCCGGCTGAGGTATGCGCTGCTCTTGCCTCGATCTGATGCGATGAGTGTATCGCGGGCTTATATATTTTCTCTTTGACTGGCTTATCTGCTGGTTTGCAGTTAAATGCACTCTGGCGTTAATTTGCGGTGCCTCTTGTCTTCGTTGACTTGCTGTTGATGTCCCTCGGCTTATAGGTCGTCCGTTTCTTTTTATCTATGCGATAGCGAAAGAATGGTGCTTTAGAAACGAGGCGGATACCACAACGAGGCGTATTACTGAGTGTCCAAGTAGGAGTGACTTGGCGGATGATGGGTTAAACCTGGGCTTTGTTTACTTTCCCCTTTTTATGACATTCCAAGTGGATAATGCCAACTCGGACTGCCCGAGTATCTGATCACGACAGAAGGCAGGATGCGTATGTGAATACTTGTCGATTGAAGTTTTATCGCATATAACGGGGCTTTCTTGGGGGTTTTGAGGTTCACGAGTAGAGGTGAACACGTAGAAAAATCAGTTGTCGTAGGTTTGGAGAGGAAGGAACGAGCTGCTCCGTGAGTTGGAACGAGGTTTAACTCGCCAACGCGTCATCAACGAATCTTGTATATACTCAGATTTTCCGACTTTCACGCATTAAATATAGTCCTCTCGAGGCTCCCCTCAGAGTCAAAGGGCATCTCGGACTTCATATAGGAAGGTATTGTTATGCTCAAGGCAACTGATTAAGTTCCCCTTTTCACACTTAGTATGTCATATGATAATTTCGTTACCCGTTACCATGATCAACATCGATATTTAGTTGTCCGTACTCACAAATATATCGAAGACCGCTACCAAAAGACGACACGAGTTAATCTCTGCCACACTCATCATTTCATCCTTCCCTCAAACCATACCCACCACCCACCACCAACACTCAACTCAGGCTTCAAACCTCAAAGAAGCTCAATAGCCTCCCTCCTCTGCGAAATCATCCACCTCATCAAGCCACTCGTGCTCCGATTTCCGTAAGTACTCCGCCTCATCCGGTCCCGGTTTTTCGACCACATACACCCCCACCCCCGAAACCTTGCCCCATAGCCTTCATATAAAGCTGATGCGCATTGCCATTCAATCCCGGATCAATCCTTTTGTTAATCATGGAATAATACACTTTTTGGAGGACGGATGGCTCTCTGAGATCCCGACATGTCAGTTCGCGTGATCTCACCCAGTTACCACTCACTGCCACTGTAATTGTCCTGGGACCAAGCATTAGGATATTTCTAGTGACGGATCGCTTGAAGGAGGCCTGGGCTTCCTTCCGATCTCCCCAACGGGTACCACCTTTATATGTAGGTTGGCGCCATGTTGCATTTAGCTCCGTGGCTGTCACCTTCATGATGGTCCTTCGTGTAGGCATGGTGTAGGGCTGTGTCTTGCTGTGCTTTCCAAGTGGACATCGAATATCGCCCGGGTGAGGATTCGGGATGCCCCTTCCTTGCCTTCGGATGCCCGTGGTAAACTCGGCCGGAAGGTTTGGAAGGATTCCTGATGAGCATGAAGTTGTGTGAACAAATACATAGCATTGACTGTCGGGGTGTCGGGGTACCGAGGCTCGCGAGGGTGTTTACTGGCCGAAAAGGTATATAACGGCAACTACATAGCCAGGCGAACCAGATTACCGGAGGGCATACACGCCATGCAACTCCATGATGGTATGGTGATAGATCTGATGCTCGAAAGAAGATCACCGGGTAACTCCATAGAGATGGGCAGGTACTTATGGCCTGGTAATTTGGTGTTGTATCTAGGTACCTTTCGTTTCTTCAGGTCATGATTCTGAGACATATTTAGTGAAAGACTTGGAAGCCGCTCATGAGGATGACCCTCAGAGGCAAGTACATTGGTTACTTGCCCTGTCAAAGAGTTCACTGTTGGGGAAGGTGTACGTCTAGACAATAGGTACGAACTTGCCTGCCAGGTAGCCACTCATCCCTTTGAAGTTGAGGCAGTTGGCAGTCATACTTTCCCTTCTGTTTGCGTTGACATTTCTCGGTTGGTGCGTCTTGAGACAGAAGCTGGAGATCCTTCATGACAACCGGAACGAGTGACCGGTGGATGTTTCCGCGTTTCTTGGACCTTCCTTGCTGTGGGGTGATAAACGTCAACAACGTTGATTTAGCTGAATAGATGTTCTAGCCCAGCCCTAGAGGTAGGTCCGTCTCGATCCCATCCATCATATGTTCTAATGTATGATGTACATTGCATAGAGGTAGAGGTAAGTATAAGTATACCGTAGGACCCGCTGCTCCACAACACATATGTATGAGCATGATGGGCGAGATCCCGTGCTGTTACATAAAACGATAGGTTGCCTCGGTTGTCAGGGCAGCTTTGCACTTGCCAGGCATAACATCGCCTACTTTCCTCACAAGGCTCCATTGTAGGGACACAAGGGTCCGAACAAGGATCGCGTGCCGGCTACGGACCAACCAGAACCCCTCACGGTAGACCCCAGCAAAGCCTAGCAAAAGCCTAACAAAATCCTAGCCTAGCGGCAAAGGCTCCCTGCGAACTGAATGCGTCTTGCGCAGCCCGCGTCTGGCCCCAGGTATCCAACGTCCATCATCGCTGACGGCCAACGGCATTGCATTCTCCATCCCACCATCTGATCCTATCCACCCGACTGCAATCCGTCTTCAACTGTCCCTCTCCTCCGGCTCGCGCCATCGCAGGTCCCAATCCGAGCCGTCACCATTTCTCTAGCAACAACCTCGTTCTGGGCTGCCAGCGCGCAATCGAGCGTGCTCGCCTTTCCCAACACCACCGCAAACATGGCTCGTGTCTACGCCGACGTCAACCAGAACATGCCCCGCGCATACTGGGACTACGACTCTGTTAACATCAGTGAGCTTCAATCACCCTATCGACACGCAAGATTTTTTTCTACTTTACTGACTGCTTTACGCGCATAGGCTGGGGTGTTCTCGAGAACTACGAGGTCGTTCGGAAGATTGGTATGTGCCATGCGCCCCCTTCCTCAATGTTGAAAAATAAAAAAATTAAAAAAAATAAACAAGCGCCGAATCTAACAGCCAACCCACTTGTACAGGCAGAGGAAAATATTCCGAGGTGTTCGAGGGTATCAATGTGGTTAACTACCAAAAATGCGTCATCAAGGTGTTGAAGCCCGTCAAGAAGAAGAAGATCAAGAGAGAGATCAAGATTCTCCAGAACCTGGCGGGCGGCCCCAACATCGTCGCCCTGCTCGACGTCGTGAGGGATAGCCAGAGCAAGACCCCCTCGCTCATCTTCGAATACGTCAACAACACCGAGTTCCGCACCCTGTACCCCAGGTTCAACGACTTCGACGTCCGCTACTACATCTTCGAGCTCCTCAAGGCCCTCGACTTCTGTCACAGCAAGGGCATCATGCACCGCGATGTGAAGCCTCATAACGTTATGATCGATCATGAGAACAGAAAGGCAAGTTTTGAGAATCTCAGGCATGAAGCGCGCATCAGCTTCGAGCTAACACATTCTCTTGCTTGTCACAGCTTCGCCTTATCGACTGGGGTCTCGCCGAGTTCTACCACCCCGGCACCGAGTATAATGTCAGGGTCGCCTCTCGCTACTTCAAGGGTCCGGAGCTACTTGTCGATTTCCAGGAATACGACTACAGCTTGGACATGTGGAGTTTGGGCGCCATGTTCGCATCCATGATCTTCCGCAAGGAGCCGTTCTTCCATGGTCAGAGCAACTCGGATCAATTAGTCAAGATTGCTAAGGTCCTCGGCACGGACGAGTTGTTCGACTACCTTGATAAGTACGAGATCGAGCTGGACGCTCAGTACGATGACATTCTCGGCCGCTTTCAGAGGAAACCCTGGCACAGCTTCATTAACGCCGAAAACCAGCGCTTTGTTTCCAACGAGGCTATTGATTTCTTGGACAAGCTGCTGCGCTACGATCACAACGTATGTTTCTGCATGCGAATTTGCCTCGCTCAATACCGCTGTAACACTAGAAACTGACATGATACTTTTTTTAGGAACGTCTGACCGCAAAGGAGGCCATGGCCCACCCTTACTTCGCCCCTGTCCGCGACGAGGCCACACGTGCGCGGTATCTGGCTGGTGAGACCATCAACTAGATGGGCAAATTGGAGAAGGCCACCTGCTCTTGTAGTTGCAGCCGAAATGATCGACTTTTATATACCATCGCGCGTGTCATCCGTTACCGTCGAAGTACTCGATTATCCAGCGTTGTTTTGCCTGCGAACAGAGGTTACAACTCGCCACGACATGGAATTCCAATTTCATTCAGCGGAAAGACATGCGTTTATAAGCGCGGGCTAGGGTTTCTAGGTGCTTGGTTTAGTTGGGGTTGAGCGCTGGAGAGGGAAGGGAAGATCACAGATGAGGATGTTCAGGCAGCCAGATGGAGTAAAAGGAAGCAGGAAAGAAGTAGGCAGGAATTGCTTGGGAAACTCTCTCTTTTTTTTTCTCTTTTCTCGAAATGGATGGATGGATGGATGGAGTCGGTTTGGAGTGTTGGTTGTGATGCGTGTTTGGTGGTTAAACACAGCAACATTGGAAGTACGTTCCGAGCAAAGATTCCCTTTAGGTTTTGACGTTAAAGATTATGGTTCATGATATAGGATCATTGATGGAGAATTTTGAAGCGGTTTCCCTCCCTATTCACCTCATTTGCCTTTACGTGGTGCGTGACCAGATGACATACCGATAACAACACCATAGCACAATTGATCAATTCATGACCAGGAGTTTGTTGTACACAGTAGAAGGTGTGCGCGGGAGGAAGCCACGTCGAAGCTCCTTTCAACGTTAAGATTTCACGGCCAAGTCTGTATGATGTAGCTGATAAATAGTTGGCTAGGTAACACGAGTGCGTAACTCCTTTTCCCAGTGAACAATCACCACACGCCAATGCCCATATCGATCATACGTATCCATTAACCATAGCACCTAACTCTACTTCAACCTAATTCCGCGACCGAAACACTGTATCGATAACACTCCCCTCCGCCACCCACAACATCTCCGAAACAACACTCCACCCACGATTTCCGCAACAACCTCAAGCACCCTAGTAACAAACACACAACTCACAACTCACAACACAGAAACACATACATCACACGCACAACTACAAACACCCAAAGCAAAAATCCCTGTCACACCTGAATCCAGCCTCACCGCACCGTCTTAGCGTCCCACCTGGCGTCTGAATCACCTCCGATCCAACAAACTCTTCTTCTTCTTCTTCTTCTTCTTCTCCCTCAGCCTCAGAGTCAACACCAGTGGGTGTCACGGCACGGACAGCAGTTGGAGAGGAAGTTGATCTCCTCCCAACACTAATAGAAGAAGCAATCTTCGCCAAGCTAGTTGTTTTTCTTATTCCACCACCAGCTGGAGGAGGAGGAGGAAGTTTGCGGGATGGAGTCCGGAGGAGCGAAGCCAAAGGGATAGTAGATGCAGCTGTCTTTTTCGTTGTTGTTGTTGTTGTTGTTGTTGTTCTTGTTGTTGCTGTTGTTGCTGTGCTGCTAGCGGGCTTAACCCCCTTCGAGATGCCTGACGGTGTGCCGCCAAAATCAAGAGTAAGTTCGTCTTCATCGTCCGTGTCGGAGGAGATGAGAGAGAGGATGGTGGTGTTGTTGTTGTTGCCCAAAAGAGATTTGGTGGATTTGGTTGTGCCAGGGGTTTGGACTTGGCTTTGTTTTTGGAGGGTGCCAGTGAGGGTCGTCCTTGTTCTTGAGGATGTCATAGGGGCGGTGGTGGTGTTGGTAGTGCGTGTGGTAGTGTATGTAATGGTGGAGGGTGTTTGGACCTTTCTCTTGCCTGGTTGTGATCCCGAGGCGGAGCCTGTTTTGGTCTTGACCTTGGTGGTTGTGGTGACTGTTGCTGTGGGGAGGGAAGCGGCAGAGCTTGGGCGTCCGCGCCTTGACCTTGTTTTCACAGGGGTTGTTGGTTGTTCTGGTTCCTTCTGTGGTTGAATGACTTCAATGTCCGGTTCTTTTTCCTGCGGTGGAGGCGAAGCTGAGGGGGCCGGCATCCGTTCAGAAGGAATGAGGACTTCCAAAAGCGTCTCTGCTGTTGGCTCCGGTGGTGATGGTTCGTGGCCGAGTATTATCGATTCAGGTTTGGGCGACCAAAATCGTTGACGGGCTATTGCCTCCTGAAGCAAGCTGATTTCCAAAAGTTCTTGATCAGCAGCCATGGTCTCTATCAACTTCGGAGACGCAGGAATGGTCGCAGTCAAGGTTGGGCTAGCTGGGCTTCCAGCCTTATGCTCATCTACAGACTCGGGTTCGGGTGTGCCTTGTGGACTCTCTTGAATGACAAGAGACTCATCTTCGTGCTGGGACATCGTAGCCGTTGCATGTTGCGGCGTTGTTGACCCTGCAATTGTGATATCCGAATCCCGCCTTCCCCTTGATAACCTCAAACTCTGTCTTCTAGGCCGAGTAGACGCTGAAGCGGTGATAATAGGAACCGGTTCAGATGGCTTTTCTGTCACGGCAGGTGTACTCGTTGCCACCGCTGAGGCGGTTACGCTCAAATCTGTCGAAGTTCTGGGTTTCCTTCCCCGCCTAGCCTTGATAACTTGAACAGGCTTGGGCAGTGAAGGTCCTTCGCTGTTGGTGTTGGTCTTGTCGAGAAGTGCGGAGCCTGCTGATGGCGTTTGGCGAGCAGTCTGTGTGGTCACAATTGCTGAGATGATTGGAAGTTCCTCCATCGGTATTTCCGCTTCCGGAGTAGCTTGAGACTCAGTGGACTGACTGTTACGGTCAAAGGACGACGCTGGTGTGGGTATCCCGAATTCTTTCACATTAGATTTCTCCGTGGTTTTGGGCTTGGGGTTGGGTCGAATGGGTTCAGTTCGTCGAATTCTAGCTTTTGTTATGGCTGGCTCATCTTCGTCAGAGAAGGCATATGCCGAGTCAACAACGTTCCTAGTAAAGACCTCATGTGACAGATCGTTCGATGGGGGGCTTCGTTTTTCGACAGCCTCTGCTTGAGTTTCATGGTCGCCATGAACTTGAGGTTTGGCAACGCCATTCCTCGCCATCTCCTCTACTGCCAATGTGTTTGTAGTTTCTAGTCCTATTTTCATTGCTGGGACTTCTGGTATCAGATTGTCGTCATCGACAACAACTTGAAAGGCCTTAGGGTCCAAGGTACCATCCACCGGTATCTCGACCCAAAGTTGCTGGTTGCTTGGCTTTGTGACAAGTGCGCCGCAGCTGGGGCTGTAGTATTTCAAGGTGGTATTCGCGTTTGTTGCTCCATCAAAGAGAGACTGCTCATATCTCGAGGCAACTTGTTTCCTTGAGGACCGCTTGGCCCCAGCTGGAGAAGACTGGCCTCGCATCGAGAGTCGCCTGTTCCTTCTCGCCGTCCTTGAATCCGCAGAACTCGGTATCTCTGGAAGATCGTGATTTACTGACTTGGTGATTGTTGTTGGGATGCTTGCAGACTGGTCTCCATCGCCCTTAGCGGAAGGAGGCTCGATTTCGGCAACGGCACCTTCGTCGATAGAAGTCTTCTCCACAGTTGATTCTCTTGCAATAGTCTCTTGAACATAGGGCTGCCCGGGACCATTTTGAACTGTCAAAGAGGATTGAATCTCAACGACAAGTTCAGTCCCGACTAAAGGCTGCTCAACTGTAGGAGGTAGCGCGGGCCGGTTGCTATCACTCGCCGAGGGATTGCTGCTTGGCCCCCCAACATGTTGTTCCCTTGTTGAAACCCTCGTTCGAGTCTGCCTCTTCGATGTCTTTTGACCTGTGCCAACAGCAGGTTCCTCGACAACAGAGGCCTCGACCCTGGGTTTTTCAACAAAAAGCTGGCCAGACTCCTTTTCAATACTAGGTTCGTGCTCAACGATAGGACGAGTCTCAAATTCAAGCTCTGCAAAAGACTCTTTCGCCGCGGGAACAGGAGCAGATTTTACAAGGCTCGCCCTCAATAAATCAGCGCTCTGCTCTAAAGAAGCTTTTTCACTTGTTGGTGTCTTTGTATTTGGCGTCCTTCTTCTTTTCACCGCTCCAGTATTTCTCACAATAGAGACTTGACCTTCGATAACTGACTTCTCAGCAACTGGCGTCTGCTCGACAGCAGGCTGTGTGTCAGGAACGGGTTGAGTGTCAGCCGAGGGACTGTCAACTACAGGAGACCCAGCGATCTGTATGCCAGATTCGTCCACCAGACTAGCGATACGTTCTTTAATAGCCTTCGTTTTCGCTGGCGTCTTTTTTGCTGGTGTCTTCCTCTTGGTGTTCTTCTTTTTCTCTCCATCTGCCTTCGCAACATCAAAACTGTCAAGTGACTTTGGTGTCGAGGTAGCTGCGAATGTCTTTAGCTGGTGATTGGCTGGGGAAGAGACGTTAGATGGAGGACGAAAGGGTGCCAGCTTCTTGTTGATCACCGGGGTGTTCTCGGTCGCCTTGGTGGCTCCAGTGGTAGAAACATCTAGAAGAATGTCATCCTCATCCTCACCCTCCTGATCATGATTAGTCCTGGCAGCAAGTTGTTGCACCTTGGCGACTGTCTTGAACCTGGATCGGGTGCCAGGAGTCCAGAACCCTCCCCAGGGAACCGGCGGAGGTAGGTCAGGTGCTCTCCAAGCAGGATCGATCGAAGCGTTTGCAGAACTGAATGCACCGAACGGCATTGGGGGCGATTGGAATTGTGTTTGTACGGGGTACATCGTGTTCGACAGTAGCGGAGGTCCTCCTGGAAAGGAGTTGTAAACCGGACCAAACGCGCCGAAAGGTGATGGCGGCGCCATGGAGGGCAGAGGTCGCGGAACGGTTTGCAATGCAGTCGCATTCTGCTTGCTTTCTTGTCCGTGTGATGTCGTCTCCTCCTCGTTTCCCAACTCGGATTCAGATTCGTCGTCATCATCGCTCTCGACACCAATTGTCGTCGTTTTCAGAGACTTGATGTGGCCGTTGTCGACAACAATCGCACCAGTCCTCAGATCGATTTCGTCGCCAATGCCGTCAAAGTCTTTCCCATACTTTTCGAAGATGTTCTCAAAAGCTGACTTTAACTTGAAGGCAGCGAATGATCGGGCCTGTTCGAGTTGGTAGCCTGGGTCTCGTAGCTGGTTGACCTCCTCGGGCTGGTGGTTGAGCTCATCGCCAACAATCTCTTCATCGTCAAAGGGCGCAGGGCCAGTTCGCGATCGTTTGGTCGGTCGTTCCATCGAGTCGAGCTGTCGAAGTGATTTGCGCTTGGGCGGTTCGGAGCTCTACTACCGATGTTTCGATGCTGGACGGACATCCATCTGGTGTAAGGGTAGAGTTTCGTGAGAATCGGGTATTGGGACAAGGAACAGTGGTTGGCAAAGAGGAGGTTCCGACGCGCACAAAGTATTGTCGCGTAAATTGCTTCAGTCGCAGATGGAGGTTGCGACTATGCGACAGCGATCCTTCCGTTTGCGACAGGTACTGGACCTGCACACACACCCTTGAACTTCTAAATAGTGGACTGTCACTGGACCATACGTAATGACGCGCTGTCATAAGGCTGCAAGGATCCCTACAGAAACTGTTAGTCAGCAACTGATAGGCCACTGATAGAACCTAGCTATCAAGGTACCTACCTACCTCCCCCTCCAGCGTCAACGGGTTAGAATATGGAGAATAGGACTTCCTCCGTTCCACCCCAACATCACCAAACCACATCGAAGCATAGCTCAACATTCACGATACTATACCTTGGGCGTCGTACTATCACTCAAAGGAATGTTCCTACGAATTGTCGACCGTTGCCCAGCATGAACTGCCAAAAGTGTCGCACCCCACTCAAGCTGGACAGCTCCTTAGAGGACTTGAATCCAGCAGCATATGATCTGCTCGTGGGTACGGAATCTGTCATTGTCCACTACCGATTCTGCGGTCCTGCTGCGTCATGGCTATTTTGGGCTCCTCCATATCTGACAAAGTCTAGCCACTCACTCTCAACAAACGCCCAAGAAAGCGCTGTCCTCTATCTCCGAATCGTCGACGACACACCGATCCCTCCATGAGCGCGAGAGGAGATCACTCTATGAAAAGGCGTTGCGGTCATCGCATCAGCCCATGTTTAAGAGGCATGCCGGACCAGGCCGAGGAGGAGGAGGGGACGGCGCACTACGAGACAACCCAGCCATGTCATTTGTATTGCTCACTGAATCTCAGATTGCGTCCTCCGACGCGTTGTCTCTCCAGAAGAACAACCGCTCATCAGCCCAAGACTTATCCTCCGATACATATAGCAGCAACAACAACAACACCAATAACAACAATGTGGGAGCATCTGAAGAAGACGACATGGCTAATGCCCATCTGTCGGACCAAATGGAGCGCATTCTCAAACTGTTCGAGGTCATTAGTGCTCGATCCGACATAGACCACCCAATATGTATCGAGTGCTCCGACATGCTGGTGGAGGAAATGCAAAAGAAGCTCGAGGCTGCCAACCGGGAGAAGGACGCATATGTCAACTATCTCAAGGAGCTAAAAGCCTCCGAGCCAACGGACGAGGAGATTCGAGCACAAGAGGAGGCCACCCGCAAAGCGAAGCAGGCAGAAAAGGAGTTGCTGGAAGAACTCAAGGCCCTCGAGCAGGAACAGGCGGCCCTGGAGAGGGAGAAGTTTGAGCTAGAGGCGGAAATACGCGAGGTGGACATCAAGGAAGAAGAGTTCTGGCGAGCGCGAAATGCCTTCAACACCACCCTGATCGATTTCCAGAACGAGCGGGACAGCATCAACAGCAAGTTCGACCATGACTCCCGGCAGTTGGAGAAGCTCCAGCGCAGTAATGTTTTTAACGATACATTCTGCATCAGCCACGACGGTACCTTTGCCACCATCAACGGCCTCCGTCTCGGGCGCATGCACAACGTCCCCGTCGACTGGCCCGAAATCAACGCGGCATGGGGCCACGCCCTCTTGCTACTCGTCACCGTGGCCGAGAAACTCAACTTCCGCTTCGAAGGCTATGAACCGCAGCCCATGGGCTCAACGTCGCGCATCGTCCGCATCGAACCTGCTTCAACGTCCATGGCATCATCCTTCTACCCTAGCCGACCCGTGGACGCCAACGCCCCGCCGCCGCCCGCCAAGCGGACCGTCCTCGAGCTTTACTCCAGCGGTGATTTTCCCCTCGGCTTTACTTTTATTCATCGCAAGTTCGACACGGCCATGGTGGCTTTTCTCGAGTTGGTGCGCCAGCTGGGCGTTCACGTGCAGGAACAGACGCGGAGGGAAGGTAATCCACTTAGCCTCCCTTATCAGATCCAGGGTGACAAGATATCGGACGTCTCCATCAAATTGGGCGTTCAGCAGGACGATAGCTGGGCTAAGGCCTGCAAGTTGACGTTGACTTGCTGCAAGTTCTTGCTCGCGCATGCAAGTAATGTGAGTGCGTCATCGACGGCGAGGGCGAATGCCTTGGGGTTGTAAAACTTTTGAGTATATCGTTAGGGTCTCGGTGTTGGCCTTATTTCCCGGGATTGGGAAAGGTGCATTGATATGGATGTTACGAATGTGTATGAACACGGAATTGGTTGCACGATTATGATTACGAGGCGTACGAAATATTGGACTGTAATCTGCGGAACATTCGCTTGGAAAACAGTACGTAACGCATAGATGGGTTGTAGGAAGAGCGAAGCAATGTTATCTGGAATAGGCGCGATGACTTGAATGAGGTAGGTAGAAGATAATGGGAACCATAATACCAACGAGTCTAACAATTGGACAAACTCATTACTCGAGGTAGTATCCCTTGAATATCTTACCCGAAGAAGTAGACTATCTGAGCCTGAAAAAAAGATCTACTTCCAACCACTCTTAGCTGTCAAACTCGTTCCCTCACCACTTCCTGTCTGCCTCTTCGATATTATCACCAGCCTTCATTCTTTCTAGAAAATCCGGATTCAGAGCCCTGGGATGAATATCCGCTTCCTATAGAGAAAGGAACAAATAAAAAGTCAGCAAAACACAATGAATTCCATCTACTCAACCTCAAGCCAACCATCAACATGGTGCATGCAATATAAGCGTTGGCGTCTTACCAGGATGTTCATCATCTTCATCACTCTCCTCCTCTCCTTGTTCTCCATCTTCTTCATCCGCATACTCCGTACCATTGTCGTCATCATCATCATCATCATCCTCATCCACATCGACGCCCGCTCTCAGCAACGCCGCCTTCTTCCCCTTCCTCCTGTTCCTCTTTACCCCCTTCATAAACGTCTTAAATCCACTACTCATACCCACCACGGCCTTCAAATGTTTGTCCATCAGCGTGATCGTTGTCGTTGATGACAACCCTCCCGGATGCGACTCAGCCGCCTCGGTCTCCGCCAGCGCCACGGCTGTTTGTAGCGCGTTGCGAATTTCGCGCCCGTTCCATTTGAGCGCGAGGACGGAAGGGTGGTGGAAGGCATATTCCTTGGTTGATTGGGGAATGTAAAAAGATCTCTTTCCTCCTCCAACTTGGTTATTACCGTTTGACCCATCTGACCCATCCGAAGCGGAAGCAGAAGCAGGGGAGGAGGAGGAGGAGGAGGAGGAGGAAGAGAAAGATTCACGTTCCAATCTCTCAAACTGATACCCCCAAATCTTCCTCCTCTCTTCCTCCCCCAGCTCAGGATAATACAACGCCACGTGGATTCTGGAGGTGAACGCATCATCAAAGGCTGCGACTCTGTTCGTCGTCAGGAAGAGGACCCCGCGGAAATACTCGAGCGCTCGCAGAAAGACGGACACCAGCCCGTTCCGCTTCAAGTCCCTGGTCCGGCGACGTTCCAAGTACACGTCTGCCTCGTCCAAGAGGACCAAAGCGCCGAACCGCTCGCCTAGTTCAAGAAAGTAAGAGAGGCGGCGCTCAACGGAGGAGGAGGACATGGACGTGGACAAGTCGCCACTGGTGAGGGCCAAGAGGGGGCGCCGAGCCAGTTCGGAGATGCATTCCGCTGTGCAAGTCTTGCCTACACCGGGGGAGCCGTGCAAAAGGAAGATGCGGCCGAGACCTTTGTTGCGGACGAAATCGGTGGGCCAGGGGGCTAGGGCTGAGGAGGAGGATACTGTCTGTGGGGTGAGGATATCTTCTCTACCCGCCGGAAGGGGGGTTTCCGTTGTTGACGAAGAAGGAGCGGCGGCGAATTTGCCGATCAAAGACTTGACGGTCAACTTGATGGCCGGGTCCAAGACGAGGTACTTGAATGCATCGAGATCAGGACGGACGGGGCCGAGACCAGAGAGGTGGATGTAGGCCCAGCGCCGCTCGGAGAGGACGAAGGCTGGGATGGTGGGGGAGAGGACGTGGAGATATAGAGAGGCATTGTCGGGAAGGGAGTCGGTTTTAGGGTTGAGTTTGTCGAAGCCGACAAAGGGGCTTGGCTCGCTTCGTTGTTGTTGTTGTTGTTGTTGTTGTTGTCCGCGACCCTCGTTGGGAGGTGAAGATTTGTCGCTACAGCAAGCAGAGCAAGCGCACTTGGACTGTACCTGCGGAAGGATATCCAAGTTCAGATGATTCCGGTTGTGCCGCGGTCGATCTCCGTCGCCGAACCGCTCCCAGCCTTCGCAGTCGACGATGACCCGGCCCGTCGTCTGATACCCCCTTCCGCTCGCGGTGTCGCCGTTGGTCACTTGCCCATCATATTCCATGTACGAAGGCTGCTTAGCCAGCTCCCAGTACAGCCTACCAAGCTTGACATTCTCGGCGGCGACTTTTGTAGCATGAGCGACAAAGCGCTCGGGGATGACAGACAGGGAGTTAATCAGTCGCTCACCTCGCCATGCCGAGATGGTGCACGACTTCATGCGCCTGCGCAACAGGCCACGGCTGTACTGGATATTCCAGAACTCGAGATAGTAAGTATTGTTGCCCTCACCGTTGCCTTGGGCATCATATGGGCCCTCGAGACGGACGAGACTGATGATGTATGGCACCAGGGTGCCGTCGCGGTCGCGGTAGATCACGGCACCCGGCTTAAGCAATGTCCAGAAATTATCGAAGGTGGCCATGGGACCGCGCGGGTCCTCCTGGCGGAGTCGTTCGGCCGCGAAGCGCTCGGAGAAGGTCATCTTCAAGAAGGAAAGGAGCACGTCGATGTGTTTGGTTGTGGTATCTGCGTACTCGGCGTCGTGACAGCTGGGCTGATTGAGCTTATATAATTCCAGCTCCTTCCAGTGGTCGACGAGGACTTGGTAAGGGGCTCGGACGATACCGTGCTCAGGGGAGAATTCGCGGCAGTAGGAGACGACGGCGGAGAGGGCGGCTTTGAGGTGGTCTGAGTGAATAACCATCTCGGTACGGTCTTTGGTATGAGGCTCCCGGTTGCGCCGGGTACGGGGTAGGTTGTCGCTGCAGTCGCTGTCGGAGCCGGACCAATACCGATCAGGCGGAGGATAGTGCGGCTCATCGTAGTAGTCACTGCCGTTATATCTGGCGTAGACGGTGGTTCTGATTTCGAGAACTGGGGTGGGCTTGGAAGTCTCCTCGAGGTCGGTGTTGGAGGCCTTGGGATCCAGGGGCTTTGCGCTCTCCCGTGCTGTTTTCTGTTAACTCTTGTTCTTTATTTCGATCATGAAGGTACCTCTACGTTATGGTTTTGGCAATACTCACTTTCCATAAGCCGTCCGTTACTGGTGCAGTACTGGATGCTGTAGAGGATGTCCGGCATTTCATCATCCGGAATCCGCTGATGCTTGACGGCCTTGAAGCCAACGGCCTCGAAGCTGTCAACGGACCCTGTTTCGTCGACCTGTGTGGTGTTAGCATCATGTCATCTATGTTGAGTTCGTGATCGAGATGAGACATACATCCATCGGAGCAATTCTTATTCGAACAATCCCGCTTATGTTGACTTCTTTTTAAAAAGGCAGGAAGAAGACAAAGCTTGACTGAGTAGGAATTGAGATGGAGAAGAAAACACATAAGAAAACGAATTGGTTACCCCTCTTAAGTAGGAGCGGAAGATATTATACATCGACGCCAAGGCAAGATTGTGAAGTCCTACTGTGCCACTTGACGACACAGCCTACATGCGGATTTGTCTGACTGCAGATGTGAGTCGACAATCCTACGATCCAAATGTACAGCCCAATACTAATTTGTTTGTTAGCTCGAAGCCTTGAATCAACCTTTAAAGGCGTTTTCATAGTCAATTGATTCGTTTCGTTCCGATCAAGGCGGGACCTTACCTTAACAATACTATTCCTGAGATTCGATATGTTATACTGAATCTCGTTGATAACTTTTTAAACTATACCTAGTTATTCGTTTGATCCATGTGAGTTTTGGGACGATTTGAGATGGATTTCGTCCAGCATACCAGGAGTACCAATTTAACAAACAACCAGTATCAGCTTGTATGCCATTGGTTCCCGCTTTTGCTACGTGAGGTTTCGTTCGTGCTTGATATCGGATCTACACTTCTGCCTACACGTATCTGCTCAGTGGGCGTGTCTGCCTAGGAGGATATGACAACGAATGTAAGCCGTGTACGGTAAGCTTGGAACATGCCGAGACGGCGAACCATATGGAACTTGTGAGGTAGTCGTGCATAGTATCAGTTTCTATGAACGGAACGACGGTTGCACTGTTTGATAGCTCAAGTATAGACGGTTGTGAAGTGATGCCAACCCGGGAGATGGTGTCCCTCCACTGCGTTCCGTATTTCATAAACTATATGTGATCTTTGGTAGGTCTAATGAACACTAAAGACGCCAGAAGAGGTACTCACAGTGGACGCCGGATGCTTTGTGTTGCCGAAGCCTGATGTTCAAGTGATATGATACATGCCAAGGTCAGACTGCGGGCCTCACAATTGATCCCTGGGTATCACCACAGATACTCCAGAAACACAACTTGTTGCTTTGGGATCAGTACCATACTGACGTCGGGTCCTGCTTCAAATGTTACAGAGCCACGGCCTTGCTGAAAATCTGGGCGGGGTGTTATCCCCATAGAGCATGTTGTTGAACAGTTATGATACTGCACCCGTTGAGACATGCAAGGTCACAGCCCCTTCCTATCGTTCAAGAAGCACTTCCCTATTTGCCAGCGTTAGGCCAAGGAATGCCCGACTGGGGCTTGGTCTGTATCACAGAGAGGGGTTTGAAGCTTCCCCAAGGTAGGCTTCAGCTCCCTTGAGCTACCCCGGTTCCCTAAGACACTGAGCGATCAGATCAGTTGGCCAAATGGGGCAGGTTTGGCAATGTTTGGCATATTTTCTTTGATATTTCTGGTTTCCGCGGTAGGCAACTTCGTGTACTGTTGTCTATCTTCAATAATGGTTTTTTTCTTCATAAAATGACCGACCAATTTCGTGGCCGTGGTGTGGACTCCACTGGAGGAGACGAAGTGGTGAGATCTAGAGACAGCCGCTCCAATTTGCTGCTAAGTGTCTTGCCCAGTCTCACTGCGTCGGGATTCTGATCGAGTCGAACGACAAATGTAGGCCAATCCGATTGAATAGGTTGCTCCAGAGGAGCAGAGTGTATATCCGTGTCGGCCTCGACGTTAGCGAACTTTTTGAGCAGTTGCACGTCTTCGGGTCTCATCGCACTCGTCAGTACACGTAATACCGCTCGGGCAACGTAGACACTCTGGGCTTGCTCCCACATCCCCTTTGTTGCGAGAAGGACCGTTGACCGGAGCGTCTCAACATGGGGCGCCGCTGGGTTTTGGGCGATCGCATCAATCGTCATGTAGGCGAGCGCGCCCAGGAACTGCATCAAAAAGCTGTCCAAGGCTTCGAACCCGTGGCGAAGGTAATAAATGCGGATAAGTGTTTCGAATCGAACGGTAGCATTTATGTAAGCGTCGTGTGGCGTATAGGGCGGGATCGTCTTACCCGACAGTGTCCCGTTCCTCCATTCAGACGTAACTATGGGTCTTAGTATGTTGATGAGGATGAAGTAGAAGTGCATGTGCAGCTTGATTTGGTGAGGCGTCACAATTTTTCGCGGGGAAAGAGGTTCGGGTAGTTTGTGCAGCCAGTCAACCAGCCTGTTGTAGAATCCGAGGACTTGAGGGATTGGCAAATTCAAAGGGAGACCATGATCCCGAAAGGAAAGGAGGGAGAAGTCGTTCATGATGGTCCAAAGTTCAGCTTTCGCCTTGAATAAGAATCCCAAATGTGTGGGAAACCGTGATTGACTTGCGGGGTATTTTACCCAAATCTCACCGTACCACTGCGGATTCTCGATGGGATCCGGTAGGGGCACCTGAGGCGGATGCCTCATTATGGGAGTCCGGAAGTAGTGGTATGAGTTTACACTAAGAAGGTTGTGAGCAATCATGGCCGGTGAAGTGGTTCAAGATCCTTGATAAGACATACCTCTGCCATGTAAACACTACCCAAGCCGTGAACTCTCTGACATCCCGCATCTCCCGGTCCATTTCAGGTTGTGCAGGCCCGAAAAGGTTGATTTCATGGGCCATCTCGATTGCACGAAGAGAATAGCGCCATCCGATTTTATCGGAACCGTTAAAAAGATAGAGAACGTTTAGGAGAAGCCCGGCTTGTATGGTAGTTAACCGCCGTTCTTCCCATTCCCTCAGTCTTCGCTCTCCATTTGGATCATTTGACAAGGGTATAGGCCTTTCGAGTTCCGAGTCGATCTCAAAAAGCCTCTTGGCTTCTGCCAAGAACAAGTAAACAATATTTGCGGGATTCCAGTACTCTGCCCGACCTTGGAGCCCACGATGATGGTACTTGAGAGACCTGTCAGCAGTGAAAATTTCTAGGACCTGGAGATACGTACTGATCCTATGCAGAGAACTGCATTGACGAGGAGTCTAGAGCAAAAGCGATGACGGCCATTCGCCATGTCATCAAGAAAGTAATCAAGATGAAGGAAGTAATTCCAGCCATAGTCGTACATTATGTAGTCATGAAGAAACTTTCGCAAGAGGGCATCATCAGTGCTCACTGAGGTCCACTGGGATGGCTGCATTTTCTCTAATCGTGAATTTTCCACAGTGGCGGAGTGGTATGGCTTATGATATGGATCGCTGTGTAAGTCAACGGCAGAACCGTGGGCCACATAGGGGTTAATGCTTCGACCTGCGGTCGCGACCGTACAATAAGGTTGTTGCTGAGAGCCGGAAAGAGGTGGATGTGTCAGATGCTGGCGGTGCTGGGCATTTACAGCAGGAATACCGGGGGCAGACCGCCGTAAGACGCAGGCATAAACTTCGGAATCGAGATAGACGTTGTCGTGACGCTGCAAGAAGGCAGGCATGTCAGGCAAGTAGGGGAACTCGTATCGATATCCTGTCTCGGGGCCCAAGGCAAGCTCAATGAGAGCATTACCGAAGGTTATATGGCGCAGAATGGCGGCGGGATCGGCGCCTCTCCGGATGCGCTGGAAGACCTCTTCAGCCTCCTTTTCGTCCCTCGTCTGGAGGATTTCAAAGACTTTCTCGGCAGCCGATTTTGAGTTTTGGAGTTCATCATACTTGCGCTTGAGAGCTTGAGCATGGGTCTCGGCCACATTGGTGTCATACTCACAGTCAGTGCCGCGGTCATGACAGGCAGAGCATCTTGGACGCGTGCCATTGCACTGCACAAGGAGGAAAAGGTGAGCCAGTGACCACTTGAAATGCACACACAGCGTCCTGTGTCTCAACTCACCTTGGACTTGCGCCTCCGACATGCACCACAGGCGGCAGTGGTTGCCTGTCTTTTTGACCGACCTGTTGGGACAGCGGACCGAGCTTGGGTTTTGGTAAGTGTAAGTTGTTCGGTAGAAGTACTACTGGGCGAGGCCGAGGCGGTCGATCTGACGGGGGCTATGGGTCGTGAAGCAGCCTCTTCCAACCCGACTGGTAACAAACGCCGCAGTGAACCCGAGTTGGTGAGAGTAGAATTGAGATCGTCTGATGAAGAGGAACCAGCCTGTGTGGGTTCGGGTGTCCTGGCCATAGTCAAGTTCGGGAAATCTGTCGGGTTCCGGATTGGGATATCATCATCAACGGGATGTCGGTCGGGTCAGAGTCCAAAATCGGTAAATGGATGTAGTCGGGGTTCGTGGTCAGTTAAAGTGTGAGTGCGAGTGTGTGAGTGGCGCGCGGTAGTGACTCGGGTGATGAGGTGTGAAGTTGTGTTAATGTCAAGTTGATGATGTCCAGAGGTCTCGAGGTCGCAGAGTGCTTAGGTAGCCTTTTTTTCCCTTTTTTTTTTCTTTTGTTTTTTTTGGTGGTTTTGCTCCTGTGTCTTTTCCAGCCAGTCCACGGTGCGGTAGAATCCTACAGTGTTCGACTGTGCGAAGAGTGCGTCAGTGTGTACAGAGCTGAAAGTAGGTGGTAATGAGGATAGGATGAAGGTAGGTAGTTGGTAGTATATGGAAGAAGTACATGAGAGAAAATTCCAACGCCGCAGATGATGCGTAGGATGGCCGATCTACATGGGAGGTAGGTAGTCTTGGGGGGGCACGTTACGGATAGCACCGCGAGTCCGCGACCCCTAACAAAGCGAGCCCCCCAAAAAGAATAATTTCATGATGGCTTCTTCTTCAACAAAAGGGCATGCGGATCCCTGAACTGACGGGCAACCATGACGGAATGTAGCTTAGTTCGGACTTTGCTCCGACTGCCGAGGGGATTCGCCATCCGTGAGTGGTTGCTGTTGGTGGTGTTGCATCTCCACGGCTATCTCCTGGTGAAAACTGGCGGCGATCCTGTGTGCAACCGCTTTTCCATCCACTGGTGAATCCAGTAGTCGGGCGGTCCAGTCCATTCCACAGCTAGTGAGCTGAGGTGGCGGGTGTGGAACGGGGGTCGTCGGGCCCGGGGGAGGGGGGGGGGGGGAGGGGCAGCA